TGGGGATAGTGTGGCTTTTCATCTTGCCAGTCGTGGCCTTGCCACAGTGAGAAAGGAGCTGGGGATTCCTCCCACAGACCTGGATCTTCTGAAGGGAAAAGGCTATTAATGGCTGATGTTTAGATCTGCGGTCTGTAAGGCTGGTTAATCTCTCCGGGGGGCGAATCCCCGCATAGCTGACATGCAATAGGCCTCAGGTTGGGCATCTTTGGAGATCAGCGAGAGTAGTAAGTTGCAGCAGAATAAGATCAGTGCATTTACTCAGGCACTTCGGCGGCGTTAAAATAAGCAGAAATGCTAACCATCTTTCTAAAAATGGCCAGGACACGTCACGTGGCGGTGTTTGAAATGCATACGCCGTCTGGTGTCACCGGGTCAAGCTTTGTTATGACTTGCTACAGGAATGTCGGACAAATCTGGTTTCCTTCAAAAGTCCGAGACGTTCTGAGAGAGGATCTCATTGAAGCTCTTGAGCTTTGAGCTCGCTTCCCTCCTCATTGTCTTCTTGCCATCATAGCTGTTTCTCCTGAATTTCTTTTATTTTTTCCCCAGTGCTTTGCCTTCTATTATTGGCCTCTTTTAAGTTGTATTCTGCCTCAATCGGGCTTAGCAGCCAAAGGCATCTCCAGAGAGCTGAGGAATCATAGGAATTTGAATCAGCCCCTGCCATGGGTCAGAACTGTGTTCTGAAACATTTTAAACGGAGGACCTTGCAAGTGGCGCTAAGCTAAAAGCCGAACACATGGCCCCAGCCGTTTCTGAGCCTCCTTGCTACGGGGCTCCGTCTCCTTTACCGAAACGCCTGACAGATTGAGCTAAGAGGTATTGCTGTGGGTTTTCTTGCTTGACTTTAAATGTGATGGGATTTCTTTGCAGAAAAGGCAGCTTGTTGGAGTTCTGTCGGATTAAGCCAAACAGCGATTGGTCAACACCTGGTCCGGGCAGGATTATGGAGTGCCGAAGATTCCTTTATCCCGTCACTTGCTAAGAGAACTCAGACTGTTCCACGAAGAAGCACACCAGCTAGAATGATCTGGAGAGAGTATTTTTGGTTTTTGCATTAAACCACCCATCTCCCGTCATGGCAGACAGGAAAACTCAAAGCAGAAGTGAAGATACAATCTCACGTCGGGGAGGACCACGTTGTGATAACCAAATGCATGCCTACTGACTGAATCGTGGCTTGACTTCCACTGTGCAAATTACCGTGTGTATGAGTATGGGGGTGGCTTAGGGGTTTGGTTATGAGTGGAATCTGTTAGCATGCTGATCACTTATAAAGTGATACGTCCTGCAGTTCCCTGTCGGAGAGTATGGGGTGGAGATAATCTATAAATACCTTCGCTAGATTCGTCTCCAGGAAACAGCTGGGCCAGCTAACCATCTCTTGCCTTGGGTGCAATTTGGTCCATGTTTGGCTCTGACTTTCTCTGAATGCTTGACCTTTCATCCCTCCCAAGGTTTCAGCATTTGTTACTAGCAGAGTGGACTGCAGTTGCTTCAAATTTTAGGGATGCTCACGTTTAAGGTTAGGGTCTGTCTGGGGACTCCGGTCCTTCCTTCTGACGACATAACGGAATATCTTGCCAGGTCATCAAGGTTTTTTTTCCTAACTCAGTGTTTGCTAATCAGGTCCTCAAGGGATCTTCCAGTTCCCTGCCAACTTTTATTATGTAAATCTGTAATAATTTTAATCAAACCATGGCTGTCTTCAAAAAGAAATGCAGAAAATAGTTCTTGAACTTTCTGTTGTCTCTTAGTGACAGTGCGATGCACCTGCTTTTCTGCGGGAATAATGTCTGTAGGAGTGAAAGTATCAGGAGGGATTAATCAGAGACCAGATAAAGGTTGAGGGGCCCACTCATTACATCACTTTCTTGGCTACTTGGTCGGACACCTCCCCCTCCCCCTAGGTGACTTTCTACACTTTACACATGTCCATTGTATCCGGATGGTCTTTATTGTTAAATATGGACATATTTAAGTGCCCCCCTCAGACAGAGGGAATGTCCCAGCGGGAACTTGCGGAAATGTAATCCACGTATGACATTCCTCCATGGGTGTGGAGACCACACAAGCTTATGATTCCAGTATTCATGTATTTATTTGGTACTGCTCTTGGATACTGGTTTAGTCGTATTCATTCACTGCGTGTCTTTTTTTAAAATTTGGATTTAGTTTTTGTCTCTCCCCGTGACGGTTTGTTTTGTACTAGCTAGATAATTTTTTTTTGTATTCTGCTTTGTTATGCTAATAGCTAATTAGCAGCATTTTAACTGTAACTGCGTGTTACATGTGACTGTTATATGTGGTCGAATTCAAAAGCTTCACTGAGTTTGCTGTCATTCCTGAGTAGACCTGCCAGGGTGACCCCCCCAGGTCCATGAAATTACAAGAAACAACACGCTATAGCCCCCACAGATGTATCGTTACTGCTACTAAAAACAAAAAATCAGGAAGAAGCAAGGCTGTACATTCCTTTGGTTGTTGTATCGATGGCGAGCAATTCTGACAGTCTGGACAAATGCAAAAATGTATTTAATTCCCTCGTTGTGGTGTGTGCCAGTGTTCCTACACTCAGTTTGGACTCATGCTAAGCGTCCATTTAGCCAAAGTATGCACATGATTTTATCGTGTCAAGGTCCAGAGGAACGTGGAATGGAATATCTGCTGTGGAGGTTCAAAGACCTGATAAGGTAACTGTTGGTGCCTTTTGAGATAGCTACGAATGCGTTATTTTCTCTCGCGGGGAGCTGAAAATGCCAAAAGATACACATTAAGATGAAAATGTTTGGAATTCAGTAGCTGAGACTTGATTAGAGCATAAAGGCACCTTTTAAGGATGTGGGGGAACTGCAAAAAATAAATATGGTAGCAGAACCATCAACCTGGATCTATGCATTTAGGTCTTTCTTTCAGGCCTAAACTTCTGTCAGACATTCATCCTGACAAACATCTCGGTTTAATGGGAGTTATTAGACGATAAAATTCCCTTTGATGTTCAGAGTCCCTGCTCTCTGCTTTTTGGTTTTAAAGAAAGTGCTTGTGAATGGTCATGGTGAGGCTTGGGTCGCACTCAGTAATGCGACAGGGGCTGCACTGTTGGTGGAGGGTGGGGGGGGTTTGGATATTTTGTGAACAAGCTCGGAACACTGCAAAGCATTACTCGGAGGTCAGAGGTCGCATGAGATCACAAGGGAGGCACTGCGTATTGGTGACTAATCTGTAAGTGATTAAAGGTACTGAAGTCATACTTGAATGTGGGTAAGATTTAAAAACGAATCCACTGCAACAGTGATAGAGACCCTGAAAATCCCCATCAGTTGGGGGGTGCTTCATCTTAGCCATTTAATGCTTTTGTTCACAAACGCTAATAACAAACATCTCAGTTCTACATATAAATACTCAGTTATGGTGGACAAACCTACTCAAACAAATTCTAAGCTTTATATTTAATTCATGTTTTCTACACATTTTAATGGAATGTCTGCTTTCACGTCAATATAATTATGCATTTACCTTTAACCTCTGACCTTGCTTGACACTTTATCAGCGCATGCCGGGCTGTTTGGTCACCTCCAGACCGGGGAGCGGTGAGTGTCCTCTGGCTGCGGAGGTCACAGATGGGATTAGTTTCGCCTGCCCGCGTTATATATTACAGTGCCGCTCGAGTGTCTCGACCAAATACGCTCGCCGTCTGCTGCGGGATTATCCGTCACTCCGGCAGTTTCTGCAACTTAGGGGGGTGTCCCAAGGGCACCATAAATGCTCCTGAACCTTTCCAAAGTGTCAACGCCACGCGTGAGAAAGCGCTCTGTGCTGGGAGCACTCGGTCGCGGGCTTGGACGGAGCCTCTTCCCGGGGGCCGAGGGCCAGACTGCGCGGATCGCCGTGATATCACACCAGCTGCTCCGTCTCTGTGCTCGTGTGTCGTTAACGTGATCGCCGTCTGCAAGGGGGGGCCGCCGGGGCGAAGGTGGTGTCCACCAGCACGGCCCCGTACCCAGAGGCGAGAAACGCGCTTCCTGTTGGGCCCCAAGTCCTTTCAGATTCATTTAATAAATATGCTCATAATGAGCTGCTGATTTAGGCTATTTATTATGATACATCTGACCCCTAAAACCAACAGTGAATTACAGTATTTCTTGAATATTTTGTATTCAGTGACTGTCAAACTGAATTAATGTGGATATTATAAAAAATTTAAAAAAAAAACACATCCAAAATGTTTTTTGTTTTGTTTTAAACCCATTTCTCCCCCCACACATATAGTGCTTTGGGTGAGGTGGGGGACTCTTGCACACAGATACTACCCTGAATTTAGCACATTTCTGCCTGTACGAGATGTCCGGCAGTCGTTGCCTGGATGTCCAGCTACTATTTTATTTCCCACACTGACCATAATAATGTCCATATTTTAAGTATGCAAAGCGTGACTGCAATTTAAATTTTAATTACTATTAATCAGCGATTGGCACGGGTGTTATATAGAAAGTACCCTTGATTAAATCAGATTTTTATGTTTGTGATATAATTTTCGTAATCAAAAATGTTCATGCTCTCTGGTTTTCGGTTACAGTATCTTGCGCTGAGTACTTTAGGGTGCCTTAACGCTCCAGGGTGCTGACATCCACTGTGCTTTCTTCTAGTCATATTCCTTTGATTTGACAACATGGGTGATTGTCACCTATCAGTTGTGCCGCTGCATTGCATAAATAGTAAAAATGCTTCAATATCGCTCCGGTGTGCTTTATGTCGTGATACCGTGTGCCTGTAATTGGAAGGTCATCGGTTCAAACCTGTTTCCAGTAACAACCTATTAAGCCTGGGTAGAAATATTGTAAGTTTAACATGAACACAAGCTACGCCTCTGTCTGGATTGCCATTGTTAATCAGTTGCACCATTGCAGTGTTAGATGCATGAGGTTACAACGACAGAGAGAGAATATGAAGCCTGCGACTTCTTCTGTACTTCAGTCTGTGCATTTCTCTCTGTGCAGGGTACCATGAGATCCAGATGCAGTGTGGATGACCCCCCGGGTGACATCAAGGCCGGTGTTCCCTGCCTGGCCGGTGACATCCACGCGCACGAGGATGGGAAGCTCAACAGTGATTCTCGACAGGAGACGGAGGGAGAGACGGAGGTCTCAGGGACCCTGAAATTACCCCAGAAGTCATCCCTGCTCCCCAGCCAGAAACATGGGCTGATGGATCTTTCCAAAGAAGACCTCGTCCGTTTCCTGGGAAATATGGAGGGAGAAGTCCAGGTAGGATTCTGAGCGGAGGGACGTGGCCTGTTCATCAGCTCCCTGTTACATAACTCTGCTCAGTGTTTCCCAACCCAGTCCTCTGGGACCCATGGACAGTCCACATTTTTGCTCCCTCCCAGCTCCCAGCTCACTACTAGGAGGGAGCAAAAACGTGGACTGTCTGTGGGTCGCCAAAGACTGGATTGGGAAACACTGCTGTACTCTATAGATGGAATAAACTCATTCTCCTGCGTCTACTGGTAGTCATTCACATCTAACTGACCAATGAAACTATGTTTATGATGTCATTTTTTAGGTAGTATTTATATTTGTACTAGTTAACATTTGTATTCATGATGATTGTTTTTATGGATTACGTTAAATCACTGATTTTAACAATTTAACATTGATAGCTAGCCAACTGACAATCATTGTTGAGTATAAAGCGAGATTAGTTCGTATCTTGTTGACACTGACATACTTGCTTCACTGACAACAAACAATCCTTGTAGATCTATTTAAAACAGACCGTTCACTGACAGCTGTGTAAAGACAGGATTCTATTTGTGGTGCTAACAGCGTCTCGTCACGTTGTCTTAGGTTTATTTTGTAAAGCAGTGCTGCAGAAAATGTGTTTCTTCTTGCTCCAGAAATAATGGATTTTTGGAGATGCATGATTTTCATTGGACAGTGATGATTTGTAACATTTAGATGAGACTTAACAGTAGAATGCTTCCTGCCAAGCTTTTCATTGACTCAAGTTGGGTGATTTTTAATAAGGCCAATTTTAATGGTGCTCTGCTCTGTGTCTGTAATATTTAGCAATTGGGATCAGTTTTTAGTTATTAGAAAACTCACTTTTATTGTCTTAAATTTGAAAATCTGGGTCACAGTGCTTCGTTACAGTTCCAAATTTTTCGAGTTAGCAACAATATGAAGTGTTGTTTTCTTTCATGATGGGTAGTACCTTTGGTGACCACTAGGTGGGAGTAATGCTCTATTGTATTAGGTGCCATCTAAGAAATAAGCTATCAATTGAAATGCCTTGCAAGATATTGTGCCTTATCATTTTCATATAATTAGAAACTTGCTGGCCAATGTTTTTAATAAGCACGTTTGCATTTTTTTGGTCAATTTTCATTGTTGGTTTAGTATGTTTTTTGTTGATTAGAAAGTTTTATTTTTATTTATTTAGGGTCTTTTTGTGTGTGTATGTTTGCTTTAAAAGTACTTTCTGGCACTTGCCAGGCTGTTATTGTAAATAAGAAACTGCTCTTAATGTTTTGCCTGGTAAAATAAAGGTTAAATAAAAAATATATAAATAAAATGAACTAGAAGAACATCACTGTAGCTTCATCTAGTGGTGTGCTTTGGTACTGCATGCTGTACCATTAATGCCACCGAATGCTACGATCATTACACATTAAAATGATCGGTCTATGGTTAGCTGGATGCCTTTGATGCTTTTAATCAATGTGTTTTCCCCACAGGCCCGAGATGACATCATCCATATCCTGACCTCTCAGCATGCCCCACCTGAGGCCCTAGAGAACCGCTATGCGTCCGCTGGCCACCTGGAGGCGCTGCAGGCGCTGCACCGAGACGGTTTCCTGTCCAACCCCAGGCGTCTCGGAGATCAGGTGTATGAGAAGCCAATGGCTGAGGTGTGTTACTGACTGGGACTCACCGGTGTAGAGAGTAAGATTTAAATGAGTACAAGTACGAGTGCAGGTGTGTTAGAATTGTATGGTTTTCTCATATCCGCTCTTGCTCTCCTTTTTCGAGACATGAACATACAGTTCTGGAAAAGTCTCACTCGTTTCTCAATTTATGGCTGTGCTCCTGTAATATACATTTTTCTGCAGACTGCAGCCTGGCCCTTCTCTGGTTGTCACTGATGAAGGGCTTCTTCCTTGCTTTATGGGACTTCAGTCCTGCATCCCGGAGCCTATTATGAACTGTCCCAGCAGTGCACTTCACACCACTTAATGTTTCCCATTCTTTTTGAAGGTCACCTGATGTCATCTTCCTTTAGTTGACGGTCATTTCTGACATTAGGAAGTCACTTCTCCCCTTTACCTGGCTGGTTTTTCGTCATTGTCAGTGTCTCCTGCTTCACCTTATTCTTGTGTTCTGCTATCTTAGAAACTTTGAGCCCAGAGCTGTAAATATAAGTTAGACCAGAGGTTGGAGTCCAAGCAGGGGATCAGCCATTTATTTGGCTGGAGTATTTTGGCTGGTTTAGGGTCTTGCTCAAAAATCCAGCAGAGATGTAACTATTCTACCAAGGATGGGATTCAAACTAGCGACCTCCTGATCACTCACCCACTATTTGCTTTCCCTTTAAAAGATTTAAATTTGATATTCATGACCTGTCCTGCCCCCCCAGTGGTTTCTATACCAGAGAGAGGCCGGTGCTGATGTGGTTTGTCTCCCCGTCCCCTAGCTGGATAAACTGGAGGAGAAGCACCGCGAGACGTACCGGCGCATGCTGGGCCAGCTGCTGCTGGCAGAAAAGTGCCACAGGCGCACCGTCCTGGAGCTGGACAGCGAGAAGCGGAAACATGTCGACTATATGGCCAAGAGCGACGACTTCACCAACCTGCTGGAACAAGAGAGGGAGAGGTGTGTGTGTGTGTGTGTGTGTGTGTGTGTGTGTGTGTGGGGAGGGGGCTGGAGACCGGGGTAGGGAAGCACAGAGGGCTTGGACGACACCAAGGAGGGTGGTGTAGCGGGTACTGAACATGCGGCAGACAGGCAACAGCGAGATCTTGATTTAATCAGTGATTGGGCTGATACCTTGCAGATGAAGTTTAATGTAGGTAATCCGTGCAGGGAGCAGAAATATGAAGCACAGATATTTTACGGGTTCCGCTGAAATAAAGGTAGCTGATTACGAGAAAGATCTCGGTGTGCATGTTGATGTTCGCCAGTGGAGGGAAGCAATAAAAAAGGCCAATAGGATGTCGGGTTACATCTCTAGGTGTGTGGAGTTTAAGTCAAGGGAGGTAATGCTACAATTATACAATTCCTTGGTTAGACCCCACCTTGAATATTGTGTGCAGGTTTGGTCACCATACCTTAAGAAGGACATTGCTGCCTTGGGAAAGGTTCAACGTAGGGCTACAAGTATGATTCCTGGTCTTAGAGGAATGTCATATGATGAGAAGTTAGCTGAGCTGAATCTGTTCAGCCTCGAGCAAAGGAGACTAAGGTTCCTTTAAATCAGAGCTAGATAAGGCTTTATCAACTCTGATTTGAGTTCTCTCCAAACGAGCCTAATGGGTCGAATGGCCTCCTCTCGCTTGTAAATTTCTTGTGTTTCTGTAAGTTCGAATCCCAGGACTGGAAATGTATGCAAAACTTATACAAATGCAAATGATTTATTTTCAAAGTACAAGCAGTCCTCAGATTACTAACAAGATCTGTTCTCTAAGGCAAAAAGGAAAAAAAATAAGTACATTATAATTATCCATTAATACAGAAGTAACTACATATGGTGACTGTATAGCACCTCAAGCTGACGAACCGCTGAAGCCGCGAGATGTTTTCACGAGCGTCACAAAGTAGTGCGTATGCTCCTTATTACGAACCATTGTATTTAACACAAATATTTAATATAATATGGCAGTCTGTTCGTAAGTACAAGCAGTCCTCAGATTACTATAATATGGCAGTCTGTTCGTAAGTACAAGCAGTCCTCAGATTACTATAATATGGCAGTCTGTTCGTAAGTACAAGGTGTCCGTAAGTTGGACATTCTTAACCTGGGGGCTGCCTGTACATTGATTTTTTTTTTGAGATGAGGCCCGTTCATACACTCCCTGGAGCAATTGGCGTTAAGGGCTTTATTCAGGGACCCAACGGTGAAGTCAACCTTCTGATAAGAAGCACAGGACCCTGACTCACCCATATATGCAATGAAGACTCATGGTTGAATAAAATCTGGAGTAATATGGTCTATAAACAAATGACTGGTGGGGTCGATCTCACGTGTTCAGACCTTTTGCTGCGAGGTTCTGTGATTGAAGCCCTGAGTCCTGGTGGGGTGAATTTTGGTGCTGCTGTAGGGGAACATGGTCCAAAGTCTGACGCGTTCTGGTTGAATGACACCACACTCCTCCGTTCTTCAAACACACCGAAGGTCACCAGGGTGTCTCAGTCCGTCAGTCACCCCAGCTGAGAGCTTTTATAGCATTTTGACCCAGAGAGCTTGGAAATAGTAACGCTGTAGCGACAACTTTGGATCTTGTTTCCAAAATTCATATGTAAATTAATTTTTACATTTTAAGTAAATGTCTTGCAGTCTTCAGGAAATGAGCGAGAGGTAAACAGACCTCAGCCCCGATGGGTCCGGTTCTGGTCAGATTTCTGCTGAAGGTGATTTGGACCTAGAACACATGGGTTGACACCCATTTGTACCCTGCAGAGCTCACCCCCCCATGCCTCCCCCCAAAATACGCCCCCCACCCCAAGGGGCATATTCCTGGCCTTTCAACACCCTGACACCACACATTCCTTCCTGCTGCAGTCACACCACCCCCCCTGCCTGGCATGTCATGCTACGCTGCCTCTCTTTCAGCTGATGTCACAAAGGGGGGGGGGGTCGGTCACATTCGGAAAGTAAAGGAGGGGAGGGTTACCCGCCTAATCTCAACACTGCCTTGACCTAAACCACCAAAACAAACAATCTTGAGCTGTTTTTTTTTTTTTTGGGCTGCAAAGAGTTGGGCCCGAAATATCCACAGTCAGTCTGTTTATTTTGCAGACGGTTTTAGCCAAAGGTACGTGATTTTTAGGAAGCCGGGTCAGCCAGTCCCCGGAGCAAGGGGGAGGGGGGGTTAAGGGCCTTACTCAGGGGCCCAGTGAATCCCAGTGACATCACTCCAGGATTTGACCCAGCACCCTTCTAATTACAGTGTCCCGACCCGCGGAGCCACTCACTTCTGCCATAGGGAAAAATAAGTTGCAGAAAGACAGAGTGGTACAGTCTTGAAGACCTAATGACGGAATAGGTTGGAATAGGTTACACATCTCTGCATTCTTACCCTGGAACCAAACTCTGCACCTGCTGAGTGATAGGTGTCCGTTTTCGTCTCGCCACTCCGACCGCGAGTCCGTCCCTGTCACGGAGCTCGTTACCATGGGATTGGGGATTCCTCACATTCTGCATATGGCTGCAGTCTGATGCTTCCTCTAACAAGATGGGTGCGTGAGATTTTATCACAGGTCGTCCAACACGACGTCCGCATGCTGTCAACGCGACGTCCCCCAGGGGGCAGAGTGAACATCCTTTCAAACTTTCCCCATTTATATAGTCTGTCAGCGAGGCTTTGGAAGCTGGTCATGTTTGAAAGCTTCAAGCATGGAAAGTATTATTAGAATTATTATTATTTTACAAGCACGCGTTCGATTTTCTGCGGTTGTCTGGCTACGGTTCAGGATCCGCTCTGACCTGCTGCTGTCACTGATCCGTCTGTGATCTCTGTAGATATTATCTGATAGGGTAATGTTTATGACAGTCCTGCTGAATTGATGGATTGTGAGCTTAGAAGGAATTCCTCAGGGAGTGGAAAAACGCCGCTTTTCAGGATCAGCTTTCCTGGGATTTCTACATCAAACGTGTACAGTCCAGAAAAAGATCCTAACTTAGCTATCCAGTTTTATATTTCAGTTTAATTAATGTGTGAGATTAAGGGAAAAACTCGAATCACTGCTGAAATAAATGTTGTCCCCAGCTACTATACTATTCACCATTAATCTCCACTAATTTGTGCTTTAATTATAGCATTTGCCCTTTTGTTCTGTGTGTTTCTGGATTGTTATGATTGTTTAGTACATACATTAAGTACGTAGTCATTTCTTTAATTAAACACAAACGCTGTCTTCAGTGCTGTATTCCATTGGGACAAACTTCCTTACATCAGTTAGCAAAATAATGCCAGTGGGAGAGAGAGTGAGTGAGAGAGGGAGAGTTGCACGTCAGGAAAAAAATAAAATCACAAGGAACTCCCTCTCCTGGCACCTCCTCCACAGAATCCAAATTAGGACGGCCCCATTCTTGCCATATATGGGAGGGGTGACATCATCAGCCAATGGTCCAGCGCTGTTTCCCACAGCAGTCACCTTCACTGTTGTGGTGACGTGGTTGGAATGCGATGGTCGGCTCCCCGCGAAGCGGCGGCCCGGGCTGACCTGTTCTGGGGTTTCTGTCGGGCTTTGTGCGGCAGGGAACCCGTTTGGCTCAGGGCTGCCTGTGACCCATCCCGCGCGCAGGGTAAGTGCACGTGATCTGAGCTGGGGATCAGTTTGCTGGTTCTCTGTATGGCCTGCACAGAGAGGCTGGGTAGGGGGGCCCTGCCAGTCAGAAGTATAGGAGGTGAGGACCCCGCCGCATAGTGGACCACTTGTTGCTGGGTCATTAGAAGTTACGACACGGAGGTAGACTGCACCGTGGGGGGCAGGGGGGAGGGCATACTTAGTTACACATTTACCCTCTCCCTGTCCTGTGTGATTCCATTTCAGTGACACAGGTACAACTCTTTGTAACCAGGCACCGATTTCCTGCTGTGAGATTCATTCAAACCTGGCTGGGTTGGAAACCCAACATGGCAGCACCCCCCCCCCCCCCCCCCCCCCCCGCCTTTTCCACTTTCACTCGCAGTGAACTTGAGGGCTGGTATCCCGCGTTTGTGTCAGGCCATATATCTGTGGCGTTAAGGATGTTCGGTGTTTAAGGTTTTTTTTTTTGTGTGGTTGGAATTTTATGATTCTTGATAGTTATAAGAACAGTTCTAAGACAAACCGCACCTCATGTGTTTTAATTTCTCCACCATCAGATTAAAACGTTTGCTGGAGCAGGAGAAGTCCTACCAGACCCGGAAAGAGAGGGATCATAGCAAGAGGCTGGAGAAGGTTAGGGCGGAACTGGTCAAACTCAAATCCTTTGCCCTGATGCTGGTGGATGAGCGCCAGCTTCACATCGAGCAAATTGACCAGCAGAGCCAGAAGGTGCAGGGCCTGGTCCAGAAGCTCCAAGACAAGGAGCAGAAGCTGAGTCTGCTGAATCGAAGGGCGAAGGAAGACGGCCAGAAGGCGGCAAGGCTGGAGGCTGAGCTGGAGAACAGAGCAGCCAGGTTCGGGCAGGAGCAAGAAGAGATGACCGCCAAGCTGGCCAGTCAGGAGTCCCAGAACCGGCAGCTGCGGCTGAAGCTGGCTGGCCTGGCCCGCAAGATCGAGGAACTGGAGGAGAGCAACACGATGCTTAAGAAGTCTGAGGAGGAGCTTCAAGAGTTCCGAGACGAAATCAGCAAGGGGGAGTGCGGTGACGCCAGCCTTGTGGCGGAGCTGGAGAAGCTACGCAAGACGGTAATGGAGATGGAGGGCAAGGACGAGGAGATCACGAAGGCGGAGAACCAGTGCAGGGAGCTGAGGAAGAAGCTGCTTGAGGAAGAAAGCCACAGCAAGGACCTTAAACTCGATGTGGAGAAGCTCCAGAAGAGGATGACTGAACTGGAGAAACTGGAGGGGGCCTTCAACGTGAGTAAGATGGAATGCTCACAGCTGCACGCCAGCCTGGAGAAAGAAAAGAACTTGTCAAAAGAGCTGGCAGGAGAACTGGAACTGGTGAAGAGTCGTGTGAAGGAGCTGAAGAGTTCAGAATCAAGGCTGGAAAAGGCAGAGGTGAGCTTAAAAGATGACCTTACCAAGCTCAAGTCCCTTACAGTGATAATGGTGGAGGAGAGGAAAAACATGGCCGAAAGAATCCACCAAGAGGAGAAGAAGAGCTATGATTTGAATAAGATGTTTAAAATTGAGCAAAGCAAGGTCATGGAGGTCACAGAAAAGCTCATCGAGGAGAGCAAGAAGCTGCTCAAGCTAAAGTCGGAGATGGAGGCAAAGGTCTCCTCTCTCACTAAGGAGAAGGGTGAGCTAAAGACCAAGCTGGCAAGTGAAGAGGAGAAGTGTAAAGATCTGAACTCACATGTCAGTTTGATGAAACAGAGGATAGAGGGAATTGAGGAGGCTGAAAAGGAAGCTTCACGAAGCAAGATGAAGATGGAGCATGGGGAATGCTCAGATTCTTCGGACCAAAATGACAACCGGGTTAAGGAACTGACCTTGGAAATTGAAAGGTTAAAGAACCGCCTTAAACAGCTCGAAGTTGTGGAAGGAGACCTGATGAAGACTGAGGATGAGTATGATTTGCTAGAGAAGAAATTCCGGACCGAACAAGACAAAGCTAACATCCTCTCCCAACAGCTGGAAGAGATGAAGAGCCAGATAGCGAGGAATAAAGCGATAGAGAGAGGAGAGGCCGTGAGCCAAGAGTCGGAGTTACGGCAACGCTGCAAGATGGAAGAGGCAAAGACCAGAGACCTCCAGGTGGACGTTTTGGCCCTCAAGGAGAAGATTCACGAGCTGATGAACAAGGAGGACCAGCTCTCCCAGCTGCAGGTGGACTATTCTCTCCTTCAGCAGCGGTTAGTGGAAGAGGAGAAGAAAAGGACAAGCATGAGTCACCAAGTACTCAACCTCACGAAGGAACTGGAGGTCACGAAACGCTACAGCCGTGCCTTGCGGCCCAGCATGAACGGCCGGAGGATTGTGGACGTTCCCGTGACATCGACCGGAGTGCAAACAGACATGGCGATCAATGAGACCTCCGAGGAGGAGAGCCCTGCGCTGTTCATCAGGAAATCCGTCCAGGAGGAGAACCATATTATGAGCAACTTGCGGCAGAAGGGTCTAAAGAAGCCAGTGGAGAGACCACCTGTGCTGGAGCGTTACCCCCCTGCGGCCACCGAAGTGACTATGAGGAAGTCCTGGATCCCCTGGATGAGGAAGAAGGATGGAGTGACACACAGCAGCCCCGAGAAGCCGGTGCACACCAATGGAGAGCCATCCCACTCTGAGCTGACAGTGTCCCAGAAGCAAGGCCAGCCTCTGCACATTCGGGTGACTCCCGACCACGGGAACAGCACAGCCACCTTGCAGATAAGCAGTCCTGCCAAGGACTTCTTCTCCAGCACCACCGTCATCCCCACTGTGGGCCTTCAGAAGCCTCGTATCACCATCATTCCCAGTCCGTCCACCATGTCCCCAAGCCAAAAGGCTGGTGAGAGCTCCCGGGGTCCAGAGAGGGCGAAGTCTCCGGTCACCATAACTACCATCTCCAGGGCTAAATCACCTGAGGGGAAGAAGGCATCTTTGTGTGAAAGACCCACCTCCCCAGTCTCCATCATGACCCTCAGCACCTCTGCCATGCCTGACCTCTCGAGCTCGCCGGAGTCGCAGGAAATGACGATGGGACGTGCAGTGTTCAGGGTGACGCCCGAGAAGCAGACCGTGCCCACGCCCATCAGGAAATACAACTCCAATGCCAGCATCATCACCACCACGGAGGACAACAAGATCCACATCCACCTCGGGGCCCAGTTCAAGAGGCCCCCGGAAACTGGAGGCCCCACTATCACCGTGATGGCCGAGAGCAAGGAGGCAGCCACCGGCACGGTGCTGCGTTCCCCCCGGCACTGCGCTGCATCCAAGACGGCATCCGGCAAGGTGACAAGCAGCATCATGATTACACCTGTCACCTCTGCACCTTCCAGACAAACACCATCCCTGGTGAGTGTCACCTCTGCACACGAAAACCCCCAGATAATGGTCCAGGTAGCGTTTATGCTTTAGGGAGATAAACCCTGCCTTTTTATCATTATTCATTGAAAAGCAGGAACTCTGAAGTAAAACCAGCTCACTGTTGCGCCCTGGTGGGAGTGTGATATGTGCTTACTGTACTTCACACGCTGCAAGAATCTTGCCGTTAAAACTATAAAGATACCTGATTTTTTAGCGGGGGTGGTACCCCCTGTGATCCTGAATTGGACAAGCAGTTACAGCAAATACGTGGATTTCCCTGTCTTGTCTTCTAAATGATATGCATTTTAGCTAATACATTTTGATTAGTATGGGGACCTTTTGTCTAAACAAGCTGTCTGTATAAAGTTAGTATAGCAGCAAAGTCTAAGAGAAGACAATTGTGGCGCTTTACAGCATCTGAACGTGCCTGGCCTAGTTTTGAGATGGATTGTCTGAGCTGCAGGAGGTCTGCAGTGAGCATGAACGGTGAAAGCGCGTCTGCTGGGCGCCGTGGGGTATAACGAGGCCTTTGTCACGATGATGGATGGCGCGGCTGTGAGCGTTTCATTAAAGTCCATCCTGACGAAACGGTAATGAAGCAGCATGGAGCTGTGGAAGACGGGTTCCGCACAGCCGCGGTTACTCACACACGCCCACGGACACAGCTTATCACTGTTACCCAGACGCACACGGTCACACCAGGGCTGCCTCTCATTTTCCTGTTCTCCTTTCTAGCTTGACATTGACCACTGGCCTTTTAGGTTATGAGACACACTCACCATCATCGCAATCTGGGTCTCCGTATCGTACACGATCCATATCAGAACGATCAATCAAACTTTTATCTGTCACCCAGTTATAATCAGTACAGTGTGCTGTGAAATGCTTGGTTGCCTGATCTCCAAGACTGTGAAACAGAGAACATGCTTAGGGACAAAACATAAAAAAATTAACTAAACATTAAAAGTTAAACAATAATAAATATCCATAAGTAGATCAGAAGTTTTTAGTGTTCATTTTTGTTATTATTTAGGAATACGTGCTCTTGGCAGTAGAAGGGTGATGAACAAATTGGTTAGGATTTCTCAGCTGGTATTGTGCAGGAGACCTTGCTCCTGTAAATCCCCCCCCACCCCACAGGGCTTGTGCATATTCATTCCCCTTCTCTCCTGCTTTCCAGGAGGGGCAGCCTCCGAGGGCGACGCCCACCCGCATCCCCATGTCCAAGGGCATGAAAAGCGCCAAGGTGGCCGTTGGACCCCCCAGCATCTCCACCGTGACGAAGGTGGAGTCACGGGTTGATGGCCAGTCGATGAAGATTGAACTGAAGAGGTCCACCACTGGCATCTCTGCCCCTCCCACAGGAGGAAAGGGCTGAGGACCCTTTATATTTTATTTATGTGGGTTGTGCTGGTTGAGGAACCTGATCTACCTCCCCTTGGTAGCTTATTAGAAAACAGGGAATCTACTGTACCATGGGCTGGAAGACCCACCTCTCCTTTACCTGCTCCTATGACAGGAACAGGGAGACCCACCTCTCCTTTACCTGCTCCTATGACAGGAACAGGGAGACCCACCTCTCCTTTACCTGCTCCTATGACAGGAACAGGAAGTGAGCCACCAGAAGTATCTATCAAGCTGTTCAAGGAGTTATGGACAAAATCATAAAAAGCTTGTCTGTCTTAATATAAGTCCATGACTCAAGGTATTTTTTAAATGGAGGGTTTTTCTTTAGCATGTTGTTTTTTGGCTTGCATCCATGACTTGTCTCACAAGGGGGCCTTTGCTGCTTGATGTTTTTGTATCACTTTTTTGATATATTGTACACAATCCATTGTTTCATATGACAGAGAATAAAGTTTTTAAGAATTTGAAAAAGTTACCCTCTGCGACGCTATGAAGATCTACAGCACATTACGTATGCCTAGAAAGTAGTGCAATTGAAAAATAAACTCAGAATGGTAACTTATTACACGCCAATTGGGACATACTGTATTCTACGTATATAGCACCAGAAGTCTTTATTAACAAAAGAGAATTAAATCTATATCTTCTTATATTCCATAACATATGGTGTTTGTCAGTAACATTACAGGTCACTTCGGTGGTGCTTTGTAATACAGACAAGAAGTGCAATCTGTTTAAACCATTATTATGTAATTATGGTGAAATCGTATTTGAAATATCGATAGTAACATCCTTGAAATACTTTTACCCTTTAGACTTCCTCATGAAGTGAATATAATTTTATTGGGAATGGTAGCTTTGAATAGCACAAGCGGTTGCAGAAAATGGATGGATGGACAGGAATGCTAGATTATGTATTATGGCATAAATTCCTATGCTTTTCTCACCCAATGGCCTTTTGGTATTAAAAATTCCTTTGCCATAAAAACATATTTTCCACGTGACTAGATAAGCAGGTCCGGTTGTGACCCTCAACAGACCAAGCGGACTTCAAACAAATGGATGATGTGTATCCAGTTAACTAAATCCGGCACACTGAATGAACTGAATGCAATTAGTGGATCACAGATTTCAATAGAAAATCAGATCTGAATAGGAGACTGTATTTGCAGAGCTGCAGTTATGTAAATAATGCTAAGGAGACTCCCATAGCAATGGCATACAAGAGAGTTTGGGGACACAATGTAAATGTACCGGCCTATTTTTCTTTGGTGGGGGGTGGTTGAAAGAATTTGAAATAATTTTTGGCTGGGTACAGTGCTTGAAGTGGGAAAAAATAAGTGCAGGAACTCTAATTTTCTCGGGCCACTGTCGCTGCGTCGGATCAGTTTCAGTAAGTACCGGAACGCAGAAAAAAGTGGCGGAACCCCGTCCCAAAAGACGAAAATACAGAAGTTCCGGAACTGCGTTCCGGCCCACTTCAAGCACTGGCTGGGTACACCTCCCCCCTGGTTCATACACCCCTGCCTCAAAGTGAATGGGAACCAAAAACACTTGTTTCACAGCTTAGTACACAAAAAAGAAATGGAAATTTTACAGTGTAGCTGGAGTGGAGGAATTAATGTAGCGATGTGAGGATCAATACTGAAATATCGATTCTTCGATCGTAATGGTTCGTTTTTCAGAATGGATTCTAACGTTAAAATATTGGCATTTTACCAAGTATTTACGTGATTTAAATCGTTACATTATAATTACAGGGAAGCATGCCATGAAATACTGCCGGGACCTCAATGTTAGTGTTAGCAGCGGCGTCGGAAGGAGTTTGACATTGGGGGGGGAGGAGATTACAACGGGCACAATATTCACATCCTGAAAGGATGCGATGTAAGATAGATTTTTAAAAATTAATAATAAAGATTTCATCATTTTAAATAATACTAATTTTTCTCTTTGGGGTACAGATTCACAACTAAACAACAAAAAACAACATCGGGCCATATGATAAAATGAGTTGATGACTTCAGATATGTATTAAATTATGCTTAAATTGGCTTCAGTGACGCCAGGATTCATGATAAAAGATAAGGAACGCGCTTTTGATTAATTGTCTTTTTTGGGGGGGGGTCCCAATTACGCCCCTGAGTGTTGGAGTAAGAATTACTTCTCCTTCCGCCTGCTGGTTATGTGGGAGAAGCACAGTGTTGCCAACTGTCCCGAGACAAACAAGCAACCTCATCCCTGAAAACAAGCCGAAAATAAGACCACTGTGCAAAGTAAGACGGAGTTATCAAGGCCAAAAATCAGCCCAATATACATGACCACATGGAAAAATGTTTGTCCTGTTTTTAATAACGTGGGATTCAGAAGAAGCATTACAGCAACTCAATGCATCAATGCCGTTGCTCTGGAAAATCAAAGTACCATATACCATGGTATAATGTATGGACAGTATGACGGTATAAAAAAATAATCAAGATTACGACTCATGATTACAATCCCAGCAGGAAATTACAGCCCGGGATATCCTAAACCGAAGGCTGCATTTGATGGCATGATGTCAAGTATTAAGATATTTTATATATGAAAGCCTATTTCAGCTGTCAAATAATCAATCGTTTGATCATTGATGGGCTGGGTCTGTACTACGATTGTCATTAATATCTGAATTTCGTCTAATGATGAATCTGTTTATATTATAAAAATTAGAATTGGGTTAAAAAAAAAACTAAACCAACAACCTCAAAGTCAGAACAACACCCCAAAACGCAATGGAATTATTATAAGCGACTTATAAAAGTCCAAACTCGCTTATAATAAACGGCGAAGGGACTGGCGTGCAGGTCTCCGCGGAACCGAGTGGGCGGTTCTCAGCCTTGCAGGCCAATAAGAGCAGGCGGATTTCAACCGGTGAACCTGATTGGCTAAAAAGAGAAGCGGGTGCATTTGGTGGAGCGTAGGATCGAGAGAGAAGCAAGGGAAAGAAAACATGGCTTTAAATAGTAATAAAATAATAAAAATAGTAAGGAAGCAAAAATTGACGTTTGTCAAAGTATTGTCCGACGGTACAGTACTTTTGCACACAGTTATACCGGTATTTACAAATATATTTAGGATATTTTGAAAGCTAGCATTGTACTAGTAGGCCTAAACCCAAAATACCGCAGTATACCGTATTACCTTAATCGAAAGTACATTTTGAAATTAATCCTAAACCTCGATCGCAAGCTAACTAGCTATATCTCAAGTAATAATTGTAGCAGATAATCTGATTCATAGTTCGTAAAGGATATTTTTTCTCAATACTTGTTATTACTTTACCATAGTGTACGAAGTTGCATGATTCAGATTTTGGTTGTTAGCATAAAGAGGTGGGCGACCTAACGATGAAGGTAAGCCTTGGTATGGGCTGCGGTGTTGAACTATAGGCTACTATACAAGATACACGGATGAACCAGTTTCGTGTCCAATATTTATCCATTTTTTTCAAGGACTACCATACTTGGTTGCCTGGTTCATGTCTAAGTTTACCGTAGCTGATTTTGCAACAGCTCTGCGTGACTCTCCGAGGCGTAAGTAATCTAATCATTTTCGTACAAGCCTTTGTCACTCAGAGGCGGTGTGGTGCGTTTGTGAGCAAATATAACAAAAATCAGTGAAGATGAGATCAAAATACTGAATCGAAAAGAAAATCAGTGGTTTCTCCAATCCTTAGAGGAAAGGTAAGTGTACCTTAGTAACTCCATGAGTGTGGGTAGGCTGGAACTGGTTTGAAATAGACGTTTTCAAGTAGTTCAGCATATAAAACGTACTTGCATGCATTAAATGCCTGTGTAATTTTTATATAAAATATATATATAAAAATACAGCCTGAAAAATGACAACAAACAAATACATTATTAGATTTTTAAAAATGGTTTGTTTAGGTGGCGTCGTGCAGAAGGTGAAGGAAGGCGGCCTGTAGGGGGCGCTCGCGCTGTAATGACGCTGTGTTTACTCAGCCTCCGCGGCGCTGCTGGTCTCAGGCGCTGGGGGCATTTAAAGATGGATGCTTGTTTGCGCTGAATGTCTGTGGCTGCTGTCATCTAATTAAATCCGCTGAGCACCGTTCAGACAGCAGCCAGGCGCTTAGAAGCGATACCCGCTGCTTGTCTCTCCTGTCAAAGACGTAGAGAAGCGCAGCCATGATGGCGTCCGGGTACAGCGCGAAGGAAGAAGACGGCCACCTTCCCGGGGCGTCGGGGGCGGCCGGGAGCGGTGTGGCCAAAAGCAAGAAGCCCGACAACACCGCCTTCAAGCAGCAGAGGCTGCCCGCCTGGCAGCCCATCCTGACGGCAGGCACCGTGCTGCCGGCCTTTTTCGTGATCGGCCTGATCTTTATCCCTATTGGAATCGGCTTATATGTAACGTCCAACAATATAAAAGAATTCGAGGTCAGATTAAATGCATGTTTCGTTCGCTTCCTGATCGTGTTTTTGCGTTTTAAGATCACCCTAAATTGCTTTGGGCTTGGTAGCGACGTTTTGCAATGCTGCTTACTGAATAGCAATAAATTCAACCTTGCAGAACACGTTCCAGCAGAACTGCTCTTTGGAATTATACTAAATAAGATGTAAACACTGGTTGCATGGGCTCAGCCGAAAGCAACTGCAGCTCTCTGACGCCTGATTGCAATCTGCAGTAATTTATACATGGATCTTCAAAGGAGCTGTCAGATTAATATCTTTTCATGGCGAATCTACCAGGAAACTGGTCGTTTTTTTTAAATGATTTTGTCATTAACCTTTGCATGAAAGACGCAGCGTCTCTCGTGTCCTTGCAGATCGACTACACGGGTGCTGACATGTCCAGCCCGTGCTTTAACTGCTCCCAGAGCTCGAGCTGGAACAGCACATGGCCCTGTCGCTGCTCCATCGCCTTCACCCTGGACCAGCCCTTTGAGGTGAGTTATGCCCCCCCCCCCCCCCCTCCGCGTGATCCACTAAACACCTTAACTTAGACCTTATCTGTGCATGTGTTGGGATAGAGTGATTATCAGGTCAGTAGCTTGTGAAAGTAACACGTATGATGATCATTCAGTTTGGCCAAAAGAAAGTGAGGATCCAAACCCAACTGTCCGTCTTATGAACTTTCGGAAATTAGATGCTGTTTTTACCCTTTTTGCGCAATTACATCATTCAGTTCTATAATTTATACATTGTAACAACGAAAGCTTTTGTTACTTAAAGTTTTAATGTGGCTAATGGACCTGGCCTTGTTCTTTGGGTCGATGCTTTTCTATTTTTAAATCTGTCCTTGTAGTAATTTCCCTGCCTGCGCAATTGATTGTTATGAAACAAACCGTCCCACAAGCACAGCATATAGTAATGTATTACCGGGTAGTTTGTGATATTTGACATTTCCTTTTTTCAGATGTTATGACAAAAAGTCACAACATCACAGAACAAAAGTTCCAAACAAATAACTTTTCTTATACCTTTTGGATACACTATGTGGATGCAAATCCATATTACATCAGATCTAGTGCTTTCAGTCTAGTGTATGATACAATGTGACGTGTCTTGAGAATTAAGCTAGACCGTGTTTCAGCGTCAGTATATGCTGTCACTGAAGGGCAGTTTTCTTTGCGTTCTAGAGCAATGTGTTCATGTACTACGGACTGTCGAACTTCTACCAGAATCACAGACGTTACGTGAAGTCGAGGGATGACAGCCAGCTCAATGGCGACAAGTCATCACTGAAGGTAAGCGGAACCCTGGGCTTCGGCTGCAGAGGATTCTGGGATGATGTGGCCTCCTGCTGCGTGTGGTAGCATTCAACCGTGAAAGCGCTGCGTTTGCTGAGAGACGTTCTTTCTGTAGTTTGGCAAGAGACGCCTCCATACCATATATGTTACAGGTGCTCCCCTGTTTACGATGAGGTTACATTGCCATGAACGCATCGTAAGTGGAAAGTATCGTAAATTGCATTTGAATATGATAAATACGTGAATAACGACTGTACTAAATCACTGCAAGCAACTAAACACCAGTATTTGGCAAGTAAATGATTCAATACAAGTTTATTTGGTTAAACAGGAAAAAAAACACCATGCAATACATTGTTAAACGCTGTATAAGATGTTTACCCTTAGTTGTGTGGCTGGATGGATGCTGCCTTCAGTAGAAAGTATCATGTGGCAGATCAATAGCCCGAAAGCAGATCAAAATGTAAAGCTGATTTCTGAATGACCATTGCTATCACACCATTGTAAAGTAAATAAAATAAATATTGTGAGCTGAACGATCACAAAGCAAGGATCGTCTGTATTCCTGTGTGTTTTTCCCCAGGCTTCGGTAACGCTTTACCTTTCCTTCTGCTGAATGTGGATAATGTGACCCATATTAAATGCAATTTCTCGTGCACAGAATCCAAGCAAGGAGTGTGAACCATATCGCACTAGTGACAACAAGCCGATTGCCCCGTGTGGCGCTATTGCCAACAGCCTTTTCAACGGTGAGACCTTTGTCCTTGTTATAAGTATAAATAGAGGTAAGAAATGCATTGTATGCAGATACAGGCTTGACTGCAAGCTCCTGGGTTTGTTTCCTCCAGACACTTTGGAGCTGTTCTATATTGACCCCAATGGCACTAGAACCCAGATTCCCCTGATGAAAAAGGGGATTGCGTGGTGGACGGACAAGCACGTGAAATTCAGGAACCCTGGTGGAACCAACTTAAACCTCAGTACGGTCTTCCAGGGTAAGCTGATATAAACGTACTCGTATACTGTAGTTTTCTGTGTTGGTTTTTCTTCCCTGTTATCCCATAGGTGATGTTGGGTTTTGATATCAGGTAGTGATTTGAGGATATGGACTCATAACCTTAAGGCTGCTGGTTCAAGTCCCCTTCCTCCCATGTTTTAAGTTTAAACTACTTTTAAAATATCTGTAAGAGTCAAATCACTTTGGATAAAAGCATCTTCATGTTTGGAGTAACCTCAGAAGGTTGGTCCTCCTATAGCTTAGGGTTGGGGTCCCAGTTGTCCCGCATTTAAGCTTAAACTGTAAAATGTCTCTAAGGTTGAAGCTGAAGTGATCTGGGTTCTTCCCATTCATAGGCACAGCCAAACCTGTAAACTGGCACAAATCCGTGTACGAGCTGGACGCGGATCTCGAAAACAACGGCTTCATTAACGAGGATTTCATAGTGTGGATGCGCACAGCAGCCCTGCCCACCTTCCGCAAACTCTACCGGATCATCCAGAAGAAAAGTAACATGACCCCCACCCTGCCCAGGGGCAATTACACCCTAGATATCACCTACAGTATCCTTCTGCCGGTCGAGACCTTTTGAAATTATTCAATTATCTGGCTGATAGTCGATTCAGCATTTCAAATTTGTGAAAAGCGGTGTTTCTTAAGCCGGTTCTTGCGGACCCCTATGACAGTCCACATTTTTAATCCCTCCCTACTTCCAGCCCACCTGAACCAAACAGTCACACCAGGTACAGGAGCAAAAATCTGGACTGTCTGTGGTCCCCGAGGACTGGGTTGAGAGACATTGGTCTGAACAACAAACACAAACATTTATGGAACAGTCAACAGTGTTCTCAACAAGGGCCTGAGGTCTGAGGTTATTCTCCAGTAGTTACTCTGTGTGTAATTCTGTAGGGCTGTGTTTAAGGTAGGATGCTTAAATCATCACCACTGCTACCTGGCTGAAGTTATTGCTTGAGACGCCGTCCTTGACAGAGTGATCCCAGACTATCCGGTGCTAAGCTTCGAGGGCCGCAAGCGAATGATCCTGAGCACGATTTCCTGGATGGGGGGAAAGAATCCCTTCCTGGGCCTGGCGTACATCACTGTGGGCTCCGTCTGCTTCTTCCTGGGTGTGGTGCTACTCATCATCCACCACAAGTATGGGAACCGCAACAACAGCGCTGACATCCCCAACTGAGGCTCCGGCGCAGGAAGCCCCACACCCCCGCCCCGTGGCAGGGATGCCCGGCCAGGATCGCTTGCTCATTAGACACCCAAAGCTCTCCTCTTAGTGACAACGCATCCCGTGTACGTTTGGAAGCCTCCCCGCTTGTGTGAAGGGCCCCCCGCCCGGGTTGTTAGGAGTCACACTCTAGTGAATGAAAATAACAAAACTGCTGTGAGATTTTTGCTGTATTTAAAGGTCCCCATTTACCAAACTAGTGAATTATATGTTTCCTTTTGTTCTTTTTTTTCCTCTGTAAATGTATCAGTGTAGACAGTGTGTGGTTATGTTGGAGTGGAGACTACTGGCTAGCAAATGACTTGAAGATGTAAATAAGCTGCGCTGATGTGGATGTTCAAATTTACGATTTAAAATGTGTGAAATATGCAGATAAGCGGCGGTAATGCACTGTGTGTGTCGTTTGAAACGAAGTGCACAGGATGGTTTGGCTCTTGACATATTGAGATACAGTATGTTGCATGTTACAGAAAACGGCAGCTTATCCCCTTTAAAATATTCAGTGAAATTCTTCATTCCTGAATTTAATAACCTTGAATTTAAGAAGTGCAAGAGGATCTTGGTACAAATTGTACTCTGCTTTGTAAAAGCTTGTTGCTTGCGCCCATGTGTTTCTTTACTGTGAGATACACCTGTGTTCATTACAAGTGCATGACAGCCTAAAACAAGGAAGAGTTTGGACCAAATTATTCCTTTGAACTGTAAGCTTAATTTACTTCAGTGGAGTATGGCTATTTAATGACCATTAGACTATAAATACGAGGGGTTTGGGCATCGTAGTACAGGCATTTTTTATTTCTGACCTTATGCAATGTTTCCCTGTGCGTGATAATCTCACATTTTATTGTTTCGTATGGTCAATTCAATAAACACTACAAAACAATGTTATTTTTTATTATTATTTGTAAATAGTTTTTTTACACGTCCGCCCATCTCAATAGAAGGCTTAGGTCTTTTCTGTCTGCTTGCGCCACTTTAATATGCATGATGCATATTAAAAATGTATATGTCCTGCTTGTAAACAAAAATGCGTGGCTTTCAGGATGCTGAATAGGATTATATTAGGACACGGAGAAACAAAATAATGGAGGATTTGCGAAGCACATCCGCCTGCTGACATGCAGCGCAGGGGGACGGACCGATGCGGCGTGAACCCGGAACCATCCGGGAAGCTGTGCCGGTTCCGAAGGAGAGCAGCTGTCCGCTGGCTTTTCGCGTCCAAAATGTTTAGGCACCTCTGGGTACGTGAATATCGCTGCCACCGTATTTACCCGTATATAAGTAACCGGAACGGAGACGCTGGGCGAGCGCCGGGACGATCGATTCGGTCGCGACCTTGACTTTCCGGCATAATGGGTGCCGCTCTTTTATGTTCAAGTATTCTGATAAATATTTCACTGAGTTTATAATTTTATGGAATCTCGTCTAATTCAAGAAAACTGCTAGATATGTGTTACATTTGATATATTCACACAAACAGGAAATAAAAACTAAAAAATAGTGGCTAATGACACTGGGTGGCGCAACAGGATTCAGTAGCTACGTGAATTATTAGTTCGTTTAAGACAAAATAAAAATGGCAATATGCGGACATATAGAGCTCAGTATTGAGAAAGTGGTGTTGATTTCCCTGGTGTTGAAAGACCTTTCGGCGAGTCTCCGGGCGGCCACTCTGCACCAGCGCAGGCAGGCAGACGGGAAACAAGGTTCCGCTGAATCAGAGGGCTTTGCAGGTGAGCCTCTGCGGAGAGGGCGGGGCTTCGATCCACGCCTGGCAGAAGAGCCTGGATTAGACTCAGGCCTGTGAGGGCTTCGAGACGCTCTGCGTGCCTTTACACGAGACTTTGGTCTTTGAATGCGAGAGAATGACTATGTACACCTGAGTCATGCAGCGTTAATTTGGCTTAACTGGAACTCCAAATTACACCGGTTACGGTAATTTTGTGAGTAAAGTGATCTTGATCCTCGGGGCAATTTTTGAGATATTTTATCCCTAAATATGTATTCGGTCTTTGCTGTTCAGCTCGAACTCCCACTGGCGTATAATATTAATTCTGAATATCTAAATAGGACAGCGCGATGCCTGTTCACCTAAAAGGGGGTAGCGGTGATACCCTGCTCTACAGGCTGACCATGGGGCTTACAGTCTTGGGTGAGCTGAAATATTAGCTTATATGCAATACAGTGTAATTTTGTTTTGTTAAAATGTTCAGTGTTTGGTTTCTTTATAATGCTAGAAAGTTAAAATATTTATGTAAGCAGTTATAATGGACCAAATCTATCTAACATGATCTGATGATGATTTTCTTAGCAATTGTCTCATTGTATGTATACTGTATGTTTTCAAAGGTGAATGCTCATTCCAAACAGAGTAACGTTTGCCACGTGTTGCTGAGAGCATTACGCTGAGTAACAGGCTGGGTGATGGTTCATATTGGCAGGGGCGTTGCTAGAGATTTTGGGCCCCATGAAAGCATATCATATTAGGCCCCCCAGTCCCATCCAATCCAGTTATTTTCCTAATTTTGTAGGGCCCCTGTCACTCAGGGGCCCTTGGAATCGTCCTAGCTTTCCTCCCCCTTACGGCGCCCCTGCATATTGGTATTGCATTGTGGTTAAGTCCTGCTCAATCCTGTCCCTTCTGTTTTCTGCAGGATCCGGATACGTTATATATGAACTGGTTAAGGCCACATTGCCGAAGAAGACCGAGTGAATGTTTCTTTCTCCCATTTAATCCCCCTTCCCCTCCCCTCCCCTCCCCTCAATCACCCTGGGTGTTTCCATGATTAATAGAAACAGTGACACTTTCTAAAGGTATCACTTTCAGCTTGTTGTACTGCAGATAAATAAAATCGGGTTTATTGCCATGTCTGGGGATGTTGCGTTTTTATGCTAAACCAAATGTTCTTACTCCTTTGCACTGAAATTAAACTGTTCACAAGGCACCAGATTACGCTCACAGTTTGGCATTTACAACCCGACGCTAATGCGACTCTGATGTTCAGCAAGACCTTCACGGGCTTTTTATTTTCTACAAGTGTTACCTCGTTTGAATAACCTTTGTCCGAGAAGCATGCAGAGGCGAAAAAAGTCTGTCCTTGTGCATGAACCGGTCTGTTTGCGTTGGACCCAAAATTTCACATTTATGATATAGACATGGCCTATGGTTTTTGTTGAGTTTGGAAACGTTGCTGAGTTCGGCAAAGACAGGAAATGTGTGTTATTGATTTGGGGGTTATTGATTGACTAATATCGTTTTGCATCTGAAACTCTGCACCGCCTTGTTTAATGTTCACTTCGCATTCACTGGTTCCCCAATTAGCTTTCAATGAGGAAACACCCTCCTTCACAAAGGTTAATTTGTCTCCAAATTAAGACGTTGAGTTGTGTTGTCCTGTAGTCTGTGAGTTGTGCTACCTTCTTAAAGCGCTGGCGAGGTTTTTCGCATCTCGACCTTTAACAGGCGTGACGGAAAACGACAGACCCACAATGAGTCTTCAGAAAGGTAAGTAATCCTCGTCTGTCTGACAGGATGCTCACCTGGTGGTTTCGGATAGATGAGTAAGCCAGTCGGGTCGGGCTTGATCTCAGACGGAAGGTCCCGCTGACCCGAAATCAAGGTGCGGCTGGCTGTCGCGGTACACGATCTCAGCGAACCCGCACGCCCCGACAGGCCGAGACGTAGGGGGGATTTAGATGGGCCAATATTTTGTCCCGTTCGCATCTGGGATGATGTCACCCCTGTACAGTGACTAACGAGTAGCCGTGTCCAAGCGGGAGACATCGATGCCAATTTCCGTTACTTTCATCCCTCCGTCGGACGTGGGGAAAAATAGTCCAGTGCTCACTGGCCCGAATGTGCTGAATTTCCCCGCGGTGCTCGTTCCTGTTTAGGCAAAACGGTCCAAAGACGTGTCACTGCATTTGAATTTTACACAAGCTGCTTAAACTTGTCCTTGTAATTATCTCTTCAGATGCTTTTTATGCATGAGCACATAAACTGCGGGGAAATTCTGTATGGCATGTCATAATACTGTGTTTTTCCTTAATTAATTGAGTGTAATTCGCTTTAAAATCATATCAGATGTTTATCCAGCTGGTTTTCCTTATCCACCTGGGGGGTGGGGGTGTCAAAGTTTTGGCTGTGTAGGGACAGGCCTGTAGGTTTGGCAAGTCCAGCTGGCAGAGCGGAGTTGGTCACACACGGCAAACTCCCTGGCACCATCTCGCTGTACCTGCCGTAACAGCTATGACCTGTGCTGCTTGCCACATTGGGTGTCCCTGCCAATTAATGACTTATTGTAAATGTATACGATATCACTTTTCCTAATCTGCTTAAGCTGTTAAAACATGAGCATGGGTTGTCATTAGATCATCTTTTTATTTGATTGCGTGTTTTTTTTTTTAACCTAGATTTAGTCGGTTGTAATTAATCTTTTTTTCCCAGAGTAAAGTCTGCCTGCTCACGTATATAAGTGGTGCTAAATTTGTCGGCGATTGCAATCGCAAACAATTTTAGGGACTCTGGGTATTTTAGAGTAAAGTCTAAATCAATAATATCAACAAAGAGAATTTAATATAAACAGAGGACTTCTATTTTCAGTTTTATGAAAAACAGACACAAATAATTAGAATTTAGTGATCGGTGGTCAGTGTTGACACACCACAGCACACCGTAAGGAAGGTCTGTCGTGTAATCAGCCGCCTCGGGGGCTCCCTCCCAGCTCGGGGGTGTCACTGTCTGTCTCCGGTGTGCTCTCTGCGGCTGACTGCTCTCCTTACGTATTAGCCAGGAGACCGGTTTTTCCTGGGCCAGCTTTTTGTTTTTTTTGAGATTCGGAAGAGCAATTGACTTGTCTGTGTAGTGATAGCTTGAAAAGACGCCCTTTAATTAAATTTCTGCATAAGAATTTTTAGGTCTGAGCGAGAATCAAATTTGAAACCTTGGAATTAGAAATTTGGGACTCTCAAATAGCGCTTTCATATTCAGCCACTAGAGGGCGATGTTTACCACAGGATCATTGTTCTACCGTCATTATGGTAGTAGGTATTAGCCGGCTAACGAAATAGACCTAAGAAGGTATGGCCCCTTCCCTTACCCGGGCCGAAAATAGAACAATAGGAAAGGGCCGGCAACCTGCAGGCTGCAAATCTGCAAAGAGGTGGAACCTCTTACACGGCCACACGTCGTATCTCTTAGAACCATAAAAGCACGTAAAATCCAGTGCAATTTACCAATTTCATGGTTTGCACTTATGGCGTCTTGAGAAACGCTTTCTCCTCCACCCGCATTGCGGACACTTTTATGTGTAAAAACGGGTAAATACGGAAAAAATAATGACTAATGAAGTGAATGTTAATTATTATCACTGTACACTTAATTTGTTAAGAGGTTATAGAAAATGGATAGATGCTTGGGTAGGAAGAAACTATTTGCCATTGTATGTCAAGGAAAATATTTCATGATTAGCCTACCAAAACCAGATCGGCTCTTCCCACAATTTGCGCAGAAGACCCGTGGGACAAAACACCCATGGAAAAAAATCATGGCCAATGAAGGAGGGGAAGAGGAAAAATATGCAATAAGTTACAAGAGCCGCGCGAGTCAAACCGTGGAAGGTTTTCCGCACGCGTTTCGTAAGAGCACACGATAGTAAAACGAGAGTTGGGAACACCCCCTGATTAAGTAGCAGATTGTGGGGAATTTCTTCCCACTTGGAAAGAAGCTTTCTTTCTGGGACACTTGCAGTCGGACCTCCAAGTCGGCACGAAACGTCTGCCACTGCCCCTGAACGCATCGATCCGCATTTGGAGGAACTTCTCCACTGAAGAAATTACATTTTGTTTTATTTTTTGTTCCAGCAATCAATTTTCCACAGGTTAGAATTCTGTTCAAAATAATTTCCTTCAATTGCTTAATATACTCACAATTTGACTACGACTAAACTTGACTTGAAACTGAGAAACCAAGAAATCTAAGTTTTTGTTTTCTAAAGGGCACGTGCGTCTCACTAGGGAATCAGATGGTCTGGGAAATATTAAACTTCCATTATCGTAATTTGGAGGCATATGTAAACTGAACGAATGAACTGGGTATTAGAATATAGCCTAATATATCTATAATAGTGATCTGTTCGTTAATTCAAATCCTTCTACCAACCGTGGTTATTTAAAAGATTAACAATCGGGCAAACGCGGACGAGAAACTGAAATGTTTGCATCTTGATTACTCTCATATACGATTTTTAGACTTTAATTTTTTTTTTGTCCAGTGTTTATTAGCCTAAAACATATAGGTTTCAATAAGGTCAAATTCTTTCATAATAAGTTCTCGAGTCTGCCTATCAGATGATAAAAAATATATATATATATATAATATATATAAAGGATATCCTGCCTTGAAAGATTTTGCATGCTGTGCACACGTGTCGCTGATGTGTATCTTAAAATTTCTTTAAATTGCATCGAATTCTTATTACATCGAATTTCCCACTTAGTACACTTCGTATTAGTTTGGGAATACCTTCAGTATCCATGCCATACATCTCTATGGGAATGACGTTCAACTGTAGGCGCGCTTAGACCGCCGAATGCCTCACCTTTTCACTCAAAGCGTTACACAGCTGTGCTTTAGGTGAATTTTCAGTGTTCCGTTTATTACACAGGAAACCGTTTCCTGAGCCAAGTTTTTCAGATAAATACCTGATGCTTTCGATTATCACAACAAAACAGTAAGACGCATTCCAGGAAATTTAGCTGTCAATTTATCGGTTTCAGTTACAGCAGTTTATTGTTAAATCGTGTAAGTTCTGGGCGCATTATGCCAAAGAGACTGAAAGGGGGAACAGCGCGCGATCGCCGCTAACGGGGTCACGCTTCCTTCGCAGATCCATTCATGCGCTGCTGAGCTAAAAAAGGCTGCAGAATGAAGATGGGGCTGTCTCTGGCAGCGGTGGCGCTCCTCGCAGCGCTCATGTCCTCAGTGGACGCTCAAGGTAACGCTCCCGTGTCCATCCCATCCCCCTGTCCCCCTCTTACCCTCTAACTCAAGTCCCCATTTCCCGCATTATTTCTCCATTCATCTATCCACAAGTTCCGATGGTTTCTTGTTTCGCCGCGCTGGTTTTGCTAATGCAAATGTTAAGGAAATTATTACGGTATTAACGAGAGAATATTTGTGTCTATAAATCGTGCTGATCTTTGGATTTTTTGTTTAATAAACAATACGCATAGAAACATGGATGTGTGTGATTCACTTAAAAGTTCTTATCACGTTGCACTGCGTCTTTTAAAGTTAGGCCTATCTGTTTGTCAGAATTTATTCCACTGTTCCCCGCATTTGCGGGCTCTCCATTTGATTAACCTTTGCTTTTTCCTGATTAGTTATGCATTTTGCGTCCAAATGTTTTCCAGTTTAATCTGCTACAGGGTAAGAGCAAGCTCAAATTAACTACGGTGTGCAGTCGATTATCTGCATCTTGTTAAATAAATTACAGACTATAGCCATGCATATACAATCTTAATTCCACCGTGTCTGTAATCTGGAACATGAAGTCGACGATCTGAACAGGACGAGCACAATTTGCCCCGGACGCTGGGTGGCGCAATGCCGCAGGACATGGCCGATCCTGCGTACGGTATCGTGCGGATTCACAGCGAGCGGCAACCCTATAAATCACACAGGGGTCTTGGGTTTAAGGCTCCAATTTCGGCTTCTGCTGGGGGGTTGGAAGCAAAAGGTGTGAGCTGAAAAATACGGGTTGCCAAGATCTTTCCCTTTTTCAGCTTTTGGACTAACTGTTCACAAACGTTATTTACTTAGGCCTAAATTTCATTTTTTTTAATTCCTAATAATTTGGGGGTTTATTTCTGGTTATTCGTGGAATCCTATTTTTACAGCGTTATGGTAACAGTATATATGTAGAAAAATTGACAGCGTTCTTTTAACAACGGGAGTACGCTTAACACTGCCGCTGTGAAAGTAACACTGCAAGTTTTCTTTGTGGAAAAAGTGGTATTTTTTCGTTCTAATAAAGATAGGCCTATGTTATTCGTTAGTCATAAAAAGGGCCAAGAACTGTTGTTACAACTGTGTTTATTTGCAGTTCAAACAATATGCTTAGATTTAAAAAAATACTCCTGGGGAATCAGGTAGTTTAACACTTTTTTTGGCAACGGTGCTTATTAAAATTACCCTTCGGATTATTCCCTTTAGTTTCGCCTAACGGGTCTCCATCCCGTACTTCCAAACAGAGGCTCACCAATAATCTGATCTGTCGCGTTATGCGAACTGGCAACTAGGCACAATCGGCCTAGTATTCATTAAACACTTGAGACACCACAAGAAAAACGATTAAAAAAAAAACAAAAAAGCAAAGGCTGCCCGTTTTAAATAGGCTCAATAAAAGCCTTTTAGAATTAATTTCCCCTTATAGAAATGCCACGTAGTTGTAATTTTGAATGTTTTTCTTCTAAACTTTAGAAGTAGATATGAGAACGACGATGCCACTAAATATTCTAACTCGATTCAATAAAAAGTGAAAAAAAATCGTTATATGCCACAATAATGCCATTCGTAGTATACGGCTACTGTAAATAAGTTAAATCTGCAATCATTACTAAAAATTATACGTGAAAAATTTACTGAAAACTAATAGAATAATTCAAATTTTCCATTCAAATGGAAAATGAAGTGTCCATCCCGTATCTTTCCATTAATGGCATGGAAAGATGTAACGTGAGTATTAGAAATTACGCTTTTCTAAGCACAGAAACAAAAAGCCCTTTTAAGCTTCTTTTGGCATCTTTTATAAGTTCCCGTCCATATGGGAAGTTAATGTGCAGTAATGAACACTGTCAGCACATGCTGCGGAATTACTTTGGCATCTGCTCTGCCTCTGCTAGACACGATCCATCCGCCTCCCCGCCCGGCCAGAGGCGCGCCGAGGCCACTGCCGCACTAGTCAGGGGCTAGTGGCTCTGGCTGAAGAACCGCCTGTCTGAATATGGAGACGCGCAAATGGCTGGCCATTATACTGCCTGAATAACGAGAGGTTAAAAAATGTCTGGCCAAAATACTGCCTGCATAGTGAGAGTGAAAGGTAAAAAGATTTGGCAAAAGTGCAGGACAAATAGTGGGAGATCTGGCCAGTGTATTGCAGAAACAGCGAGAAGCGAAAAGGTCTGGTAAAAGAAATGCCTCTCTCTCTCGCTCTCTCTCTATCCAATGAGAGGTAGGAAATCCTGGTTAAAGAAAAGTGACAAATGAGGTTCAATTTGTCAACCTTCTTACGGGAGAGCAGTCTTTCATGGTTGACACACAAAAAAACTTTAAAAATTTGACCTGATTTAAAAAAAAAAAAAAATGTTTTGTTTTTTTCTTTTTTCAATTAATCTATGTAAAGATAAGCATCGCTTTTGAAATCCCGACAAGCAAGGTGTAGAACCCTCAGTAAAAAAAATTCTGCTGTATAAAAATCAACCGAATAAACAAACGGCATAAAGCACTTATTAAACCATCTCACCATGCTCATTTTTCTGATCATTTTTTGAGAAAATGTTATTTTTATGAGTCTGGGCCACGTCTGCTGTTGAGACAGTGCTTTCAAGTGTGGCTTGCTCAGCGCTCCTTCAGGGAGTGTTTGAAGACCCCCACAGTGGGTTTGGAGAAGGGAAGGGAGCACGCCACGCCCCCCCCTCCCCTGAGTTGTTCGGCCAGGTTGGTGGTCCTCCTTTTTCATGTACAGATCATGCTTCCGCTCGGGTCACCTTGTCCTGCCTGTGCGTCACATTCGTTCTGAGCTTTGGCTTCTCAACACTATTTTACAATGATATTCTTGCCCCACCCCCCAGATTCCTCATCCCCACTTCCAGCAGCCCTGCTTGCCTCTTCAATAAACAACTCCCAAGCCGGAAACATTCAGCTCTCTCTCCTCCCCCCCCCCTATTTCTGTAACTAATCGTATCGCTGCTTTTTCACACATGTTTATATAATAATTGCAGATTCAGATGCTTATGGACGACACACGCCCCTTTCCCTGCATGCCAAAAGCTGAAAACGTAATTTTGTCTAACATTGAGTCTCTTTAAAAAATGTTAGACATTCGAGGGTTGTTTTTAGTGTTGGTTGTTTCTTCAGACATCTTTGACCTCCTTGATCTGCCTTTTATTAATGTAACCAAAGCTCCTTTCTTTGAACAGCAACATCCTCTTTCTTTGATGCTGGTTCCTCTTGCCACCATAAAGAAAAGCCATCTTGCTCTAAGCTTTTCCCTCTCACCAGCTAAACAACCCTGAACATAAAGACCCTGTCAGCTTGGCAGGGCTTGGAATGGTGTCCGTATCAGCTTGAGGGTTTAATAACTAACAGCACCCTTAGAATAACGCGATTCCTTTTACTGGAAGTGGAACTGAAGTGGGATGCATGTGCACGGATTCCCATAAAAGAATATCATTCTAAAATATGTTTACAGTCTTCATTTGTGGTCCTTGTGCATGACCCTGTGACACCCAGCTCAATGTGGGCCATGCAGTTACGCCATGATTGTATTTTTCGTCCGTTTTTTTTGTACACTTCCTCTGTATTTCGACTGTCTCTCCATTTGGTTTGTGTACGCCGTTCACCATCGCTCCATGCCGTCTTGTGCGTACGATGCAAAAGAAAGTACACAAGGGTCTCCTGTGACGCATTGTGTATTCTTTTACGAGGTTTGCAATGGATGTGTCGTTGACTGTACGATACTTCACCCGTATGTCAATATATGTATCTGCACTTTATATATATATATATGACATATGGTGCCATCCTATCTTCACCATCACTATTGCCCGTAATCCGGCTGCCACGAGTCCATTGTATAATCGGTAACTCGGGAATGAAAAAACCGTGCATCGTTGTGTGTAACGTCATGTTGTTTTAATCCAACTCCATTCCATGTGAGCAACCTAGCGGGGCTTAATGGGCATGTGTCGTGTTGACTGCATTCAGCATGTTGACTCCACTCGATGTTTGCAGCTGTGGGGGTTTTGTGTTGAGATGTTGCATTTCCCCCCCCCCCACTCTGTCCTTGAACCTGTGCTTGAGCTGCTGACCGTGGATGCGTGGTCTGGCAACTCAAACGGATGTCATTTTCCCCCCCAAAATGGCGTCTTGCGTCTGTTATGTCATTGTTTTATTTTTTTTCGTTTTTTTTTTTTGTTGCTGTGGTGCTGGTTTCTGTGCTGTCACCCCAACATGGAAGGCATTTAACTTCACTCTTTCAAAGTGCATTTTATGCAAAAGTCTTGTGCTTTACTTACAAAAGTTAATGTACCTGTTGTATCATAATGTATTTATTAATTTTTTGTACCCGCCTTTTTATACTGTGAATGTTGACATTGACTACCCTTTTGTTTGCAGTTCAACCCCCCTCTGACTTGAAATTTAAAATTCTAAATGAGAACTCAGTAGAGATGTCATGGAGGAGACCTGTAACTGCAATACAGGGTTACAGAATACAAGTGGTATCAGACACAGGTGGGTGCCCCTGACGACTGTGGTCCTTGGTTCTCTGGTCGCCATGGAGATGACAGGGAGACACTAAAGGGAGAGATCTGCGATAAACCGGTTACTCACCTCTGAGGAACCACAACAGCAGCTTCAAACAGCTTTTTATCTTTGACCACACAGGCAAACGCTGCGATTTAAATTCCACAGCAGACGCCATTTGTCGAGAACATGGGAGAGAGAAATGTAGCCCAGCTTGGCATGAACGTTCTAAAAGAATCAAATGTGATTGCCCAGCATTTAAAAAAAATTCCAGCCAATTAGTATGACACACAGGAAGGTGTTTATGTCTGTATTCTGCTGGCACCAGCCGGGCTTAGGTAGCTAGCGGGCTGTTCCTTGCACTTGTATCTTCACATGATGATTGCAGAATATCCTGCTTTAATTCTGTTTCTTTTCTTCAGATGAACCTGCCAGGGAGTTAAATCTTCCAGCTTCTGCCACTCAAACGTCCATCTCGGATCTGACTCCTGATCTAGATTATGTAGTTACAATAACTTCATTTTACGGGGCAGAGGAAAGCATTCCCATCTTTGGCCAGCTTACCAGTGAGTGTGCCGTCGACACCGGAACCTTTCCGAGGCCTGAACCTGGTGGGGAGGTGGGGCTTCCTACGGGTACAATTTATTTTACTGATATGCAAAGTCAAATGAGCCTTCTTTGGCCAGAGCCATGTATGTTCTGGAACGATCCGTGACATGTTTTCCATCCGTGGTTTGAGGACCAGCGATGACTTCGAGCAGGTGATCAGAATGTCACGGGGAAGACGTGACGGTCGTGCGGTAAATTTTGGGAGGGAGTTTGCCGTTGAACACAGATGCAAACGATATTGCTCTGCGTCGTCAGTGTGCTGGGGTGATCGTTACTGTTTTGGAACAGCGGCATCCCGGCAAGATACAGAAGCGACTTGAAAATGGTTTATTATGACACATCGTTCAGATGTGTGTGCTGATGGGAACGGCGGCCATTTATCCCGTTAGCTGCTCTTAATTCATCCTTTTCGTTTTGCTTTTTTCATTTTCAGTTCAATCCAGCGACATGTATGCAACACGGAAGCCCCAGGTGTCGGATGCAGTCAGTAAGTTCATTCGTCATTCTCTCTACAGCCTGGCCTCTTCCAAACGCCAAAGCTGACCCTCTGGGCTAGACACATGTGTCCTCCATGTTTTAACCTTGGTGAGGTTAATTCCGTTGGCATTAGCATGGAGAACGAATTAAAACCGTTGTTCTTATTGATCAGAATTAATCTTCTAGACACAGCAACTCCTACTGCGGAACGGAGAAAAGAGAAAACTTGAAATGTTCCTCTTTTTATCTTTAATGGTGTTTTTAAGTATTTCTTCATGAATCTGTTTGTTTTCCAAGTCATGTGAGAGTTGTGCTTGACCCTTTGTTTATGAATTTATCTCCCAGCATGCTCTGTCAGCGCCATCACAGACCTAGTCTTCCTGGTGGACGGCTCCTGGAGCGTGGGCCGGGAAAACTTCAAGTTCATTCGCAGCTTCATGGCGGCCATGGCCGGCGCTTTCGACATCGGGGAGGACAAGACCAGGGTGGGCGTGGTCCAGTACAGCACCGACACACGGACAGAGTTCAACCTGAACCAGTACTTCAAACGGGGCGAGCTTCTTCGCGCCATAAACACCTTACCTTATAAGGGCGGCAACACCATGACAGGTGAGCCGCACTCTGTCCTCCTAAATGCAAATTCCTGGAGTCGCATTTCTTCATATGTATTGCTTTAGCTTCTCATTTATCTTTGCTGCATTTGGCGTAGTTTATATGTGTGAGAAATATGTGTAATATAATGTAAATGTTTTCTGAGCAAACCTCTGAATGTATGTTTCATTAATGACCTGGATGTAAGGATGTATCGTCTGAGAAAGTGATTCCAAATAATGCCTCATGAACACAATGACATTTATAATCCTCGCTGACTGCACTCGCACTCAGTCGAATGCTTTTAGCTCCAAAGGTCACTGGTCTGTTCACTGCCGACACGCTGCAGCATCCTTTGCTTCCTTTTTGTATTCGATTTATTCCCTATAAAGTTTTAATTTGTTATGTTTGGAAGCCATGGCTAGCTTTGCAGGATCTAGTTTAACCAGGTTATAAAGTAACCTTTTAAGACCTAGTCATCGGGTGGGGGGTGGTCCCATGATATATTTTACCAGCCCTCCTATCCATCATTCCCAGTATGCCAGATGGCTGGTCTATCCCTGAATATAGCTATGCTAAGATAGCCTTATTTAAACACTCAAGGCTTTATTATGTCTCTGAAGGTGATGCCCTGAATTACCTGCTGAAGAACACCTTCACGGAGGCAGCCGGGTCCAGGAAGTCATTTCCCAAGGTGGCCATGATCATCACAGATGGAAAATCGCAGGACCCAGTGGAGGAGCATGCAAGGAAGCTGAAGAACATCGGGGTGGAGGTTTTTGTCTTGGGTATGGGGCTTTTCAATTCTGTATTTATAGACCCGGTAATACAGTTATATTTCCCAGAATACCGTACTTCCCGTCGTGGTTTACCGACACATGTTTTTGTTAGACCATTACTGACCAACGATGGGCCATGACTGTCCAATACAGGCATCAAAGGAGCAGATGAGGACGAACTGAAGGAGATAGCTTCCACACCTTATAAGAACCACGTCTTTAATGTCCCCAACTTTGACTTGATCAAGGACGTGCAGCGGCAGCTTATTAATGAAGTGTGTGCTGGAGTTGAAGACCAGCTCGCATCCCTTGTGAGTGGAGAAGAAGGTAAGAACATTATATGAAAGTTGACGAGAAGAACCATGTCATTAGTGGTTGATGACTTGACTTAACCTGTGGCATTAGTCTAAAATGTGATTTTCTTCTGTTTGACCTCCCAGTGGTTGAATCGGCTTCAAACCTTCAAGTGACTGAGATATCGTCCAAGTCCATGCGCGTCACCTGGGATGCGTCACCAGGGGATGTGACAGGGTACAAACTACAGCTGCTCCCCATGCTGGCTGGGATCAAGCGGCAGGAGCTGTACGTTGGCCCCACGCTGACCTCAGTCACCGTCAGGGACCTGGCACCCGAGACTGAGTATGAGATCAGCCTGTTCGCCTTGAAGGGCTTGACACCCAGCGAAGCCATAATGGCCATGGAGAAGACCCAGCCCATCAAGGTGTCCTTGGGTAAGAACATGCGCAAGACCTCCTTATAGATACCAATGTGCTCCAGTCACCAACCACACTATCAGATACTCCAACTTACTTTTAAACCTTCTCTTCCATTTATGCCAGTATTGTACAACTAGGGTCTAAATTTGTCCAAGATTTCTCTGTTTTCTACTCATTGAACACTATTCAATGGGCTTTTAATATTTTCTCCCATTATCTAGAATGTTCCCTTGGAGTGGATGTACAGGCAGACGTTGTCCTCCTGGTTGATGGCTCATACAGCATTGGATTGGCCAATTTTGCCAAAGTTAGAGCTTTTCTGGAAGTGCTTGTGGAGTCCTTTGACATCGGACCCAACAAAGTTCAGATCAGCTTGGTTCAGTACAGCAGGGATCCACACACCGAGTTTGCCCTGAACACGCACCATGACCGCAGCGCTGTGCTCAAGGCGGTGAGGACCTTCCCCTACAGAGGAGGTTCCACCAACACAGGCAAAGCCATGACATACGTGAGGGAGAAGATCTTCGTGTCCTCCAGAGGAGCTCGCTCCAACGTGCCAAGGGTCATGATTCTAATTACGGATGGAAAGTCCTCCGATGCCTTCAAGGATCCGGCCACCAAACTGAGGAACACTGACGTGGAGATCTTCGCCGTGGGTGTCAAGGACGCCGTCCGCTCCGAGCTAGAGGCCATCGCAAACCCACCTGCAGACACTCACGTCTACACGGTAGAGGACTTTGATGCCTTCCAGAGGATTTCCAAGGAGCTAACTCAGTCCATCTGCCTGAGGATCGAACAGGAACTCCTCAACATCAAAATCAGAAGTAAGTGCTCTGTCATACTTGTTGGAGATGGTGTTTGCTAGAAGCCATGCTATCTAGCTCCATGTCTGGGAGAGCAAAGCATTGGTATTTGAGTATTAACTGTGATGAGGACCTGAGGGCTGTAGAAAGTACTGTTGAGTAGCTAGTGTGAGATCTGTCTACTGTATCAATCGCCTCTTATGTCATCATACAATTATCCCTCTTAACTGTCCCCGTGTCTCCATAATTTATATTTTTTCTGAGGAATAGGCCTGGTGAATAACTAACTAAGCCCAGGCTAGTATGTTTTTAAATCCATTTAACTGTAAAAAGTCATCATTTAGTGTTCAACCTTATGAGTTCCACAGGTCTTCACAAAATTGCTAGTGCCTGTCTGTAGTTACTTTAGAGACTTTGGGAGCGTGTTATTTTGGGTAAGTTTCATAACCATATGACGCCATTTGACTATGATACGTTTGTCAATGACCAGCAAGCAAAACATAAAATGCCAAAGCTAAAGGTGAGAGTGTGGATGTGTTTTTCTTGTCTGTTTTTGTATAGAGATTAATTGCAGCATTTAGCTTCAAATTTAGAATTAGTTCATTCTGGCACATTAGCCAAAGAGCAAACAATTACAGCTTTTCCTGTCAGAAACCCATAGATGTCCAGTTCTTCAGATATCAAGACACTGGATTCTCAAGAGGATCGGTTACACAGTTTGTTATCGTTAACTGTTTTAAAATCTATAGCAACGAGAGCCCTGGTGATTTTTTTGACCTAATGGTGCTTCTCACTTTGTGGGTTCCTGCACAGCAAGCGTTTTATTTTCCAGTGTTTTTCTTGTTATTTTCACAGCAGATGACTTGCAGATAATATCTTGAGACTGACAGAAAGGAATTAATGATTCTTAGGTTTAGATCTGCCCATGAACCTCTGTGTGAGATATTGACACTGTTGTTTATCTTTCTGCGCAATTGTTAAAAAAAATGGTTGTGTAACTTCAGGAGAAGGTTCATCTGTCTGAGTATTAAAGGTATTAAACATCATAGATTTGTTTTTCGTCTGAGCTACTGTGCTTTCCCTTTCAGAATTAATCTCTCCGGAGTCTCTGCAGTTCTCCGAGGTGACGTCTAGAAGCTTCCGCACCACCTGGGACTTCAAAGGGACGGACGCTCTGTCCTTCCTGGTTCGCTTTAAGCCCTCGGCGGACGTGACGGGGGATTACGTCACCCTCTTCGTTCCAGCCGACACCCTGACTGTCGTCTTGCCCCACCTTACTCCCCTTACCAAGTACGAGGTCAACGTGTTCGCCCAGTATGAGCAGGGGGACAGCTTCCCCCTGACTGGAGAGGAAACAACTCTGGAGGGTAAGTCTCCATTTTCATAACCACCATCCTAACGGCAAGAATGGCCATAGCTAGCAGTGTGTATGAGTCACCTAAAAGCTTGATCTGATTGTCTTGCACTATTCCTGACCGCTGCTACTCTGTTGTAGAACAAGGCACAGTGAAACGGCTAAGGGTCTCAGATGAAACGACAGACAGCTTCCGGGTCTCCTGGCAGGCCGCCCCAGGGGGCGTGTTGAGATACCGGCTGACCTATGTGCCGGTCCAAGGCGGCGTGGAGATGCAGGAGGCGTTCACCGAAGGACCGGACACCTCCATTGTTCTTCAGGAGCTGTTCCCCATCACCACCTACCGCGTGTCTGTGTCTGCAGAGTATCAGTCTGGACTGGGACAGCAAATGTTCACCGAAGGCACTACCAAAGAAGGTGAGCCAGCTCGTCCCATGCTCACTGTGAAGCCCCGTGTCACTCTCTGAATTCCATTCCGTTGTTTTGTTCTCAAGTGCCCGCCGTTGTCAGTTCATAGTTTGAAAGTCAAAAAAAAAACAAGGATCCTCCAACTGCGCTCATCAGCGTCATCGTGGGCGAAAATGCGTTGAATAAGTGGTACTTAAGTGGAATGACAAACAAGTCAGGCTATTTTCAAAAGTCGTATTTAAAGAGGGTGTCTTTTCAGTGTGTAGACCGTCTCAGAGACATATGTTTAGTGTTGATTCATGTCACGGGCATTAAAAAAAACACACGCGCACACACACACACAGCCCCTTTTCTCAGCCTGAATGAGAGCCGGCATGAAACAAAATTCCCCCCTTTTTGTCTTCTGCTGCCAAGGTCTTTGTCAGAACTCTTGCTTGAATATCGGAGTTGCGTTCCCTGGCTAAGGTCAGAGCCAATAGATGGCAGACAGGCAAAAGCTTACATTACAGGCCTCAGTGCTCTTGGGACACTCAGTATACTGGTGGTTGTTTGAGTCTTAATTAATGAGCCTATTTGCCTTTATTGGGCTATTGCCTGCACTGATTGTGTGTTTTACCTCATGCTAAACTAAGCGTCGAATTTAGGTAGTTTAATTTTTCAAGACACCTGAAACTGAATATGAATTATAAAACTATTACCGATACCGGCCTCAAAATATGCTGCCTCAATTTGATTCTTTGTGGAACAAACCATAATATATTGGAACTGAACTTCAATTATGTGAATGAAACCATTGCAGGAATGCCTCACCTTGACACTAATTTTCTTTATGGTAAGTGATCTACTCCATTTGGTGTGCAAATCAGCAGTGTTGGCAGGAACCTTACACCCTGTCAAGACCTGAATCTGAAGCCTGTGTAGATGTTCTTCAGAACCAGAGGAACAGTACTGATAAATGGGTTTTAATGTTGCTCTCTTCGGTTCCTCAGCACGGGGGTCCCCTCGAAACCTGCGGGTCTTCAACGAGACCGTGTCCAGCATGCGGCTGTCGTGGCAAGCAGCACCGGGAAGGGTGCAGCAGTACCGCGTGGCGTATAAACCATCCACCGGTGGAGAGGGCAAGGAGATGATGGTGAGAGGTGACACCACCAGTGCCCTGCTGAAGAACCTGCAGCCCGACACGGAGTACGAGCTCTTCGTCAGTGCACGCTACACCTCAGGCCTCGGCGACCCGCTGATGGGAACCGGAACCACTCTGGAAGGTACCTAACCCGATCTCTTCATCGTCGATCAACAGCACACTGGTTAGTGATTGGGGGCAGCTGACAGAACAGCAGCTATTTACAAGACCTTGCAAGTTCCAACTCCCAAAGAGCTCCTGAAATTTGTATCATTAAGCTCCGTATTAAACTAGAAGTACCCTAATAAAACTGTTTGTCTGCATGAAGGGTTCAGAGGATCATCCAAGCAAGTTGGAAAATAGCTCCAAGCACAGCTGCACAACAAAGGGGAACCTAAATATTCTGGAGCAGATATGTCATTCTCCCCTTAGGTATTATTCTGCGCTGTGGGGTGCGATCGTATTACTCTGCTTAACAGTCTATAATTCAGTGTCTAAAGACAGGCATCAATAATCACATCATAAGCTCTGGTAGTACTGAAACCCTTGTTTAAAGGTTCTGCAATCATGCAGATGTGCATGGAGAGAGCAGGCCAGTGCAGACCCCGTGTTTCCATGAAGAATGATGTTCTGGGCGGCTAACATCGAGCTTAGGAATCGAATGAATCTGGGTGTGGTGGCGGCCTCATTCTTCTGATGATTTATGGGAAGTTCTGCCTCGTAAACGAAGAGGTCCCTGGAGCTTCACGCAGAGGCAGCTGTGCTGAGTCGAAATGCAGCGTCGCAAGGTGCCGTGCAGGCGGGCAGGGTGGCGTTCTTTCATTAAGACGGTGGACATGCGGACAGCGACGCGAATCTGCGAGCCCTGAACGGGATTTTTCTGCCCTGAATCCAACTCCAGTCATTCAATGGAGAAAATCACTTATCGCACTTCTGCACATTTCTCTTGCGCTCCCGATTTTTCTCAAAGGGCGCGTGAGATTTCCAGGATCTTCCCCATCTCCTCAGGGTTTCCCGTAGACTTTCCTGGACGTGTCTCCCGTGTGTTTCCACTAATCGGCAGAATTCCATTTGTCATTGAATTGGGAACGTTCAGACTGACGGTCATTTATCTGGCCGCCACTTTCGTCCGGAGCGACTTTGCACTCGAGTGCAGCAGTAAGTGCAAAAATCTAGAATTAATGAAACGCAGCTGGCAGCGTATGCAGGCATGTATGGGGACGAGTACAGTTGGCGGGCTGGGAAGGTGACGTTATTTGGGGTTTATTATGGAGAGTTTATTGGATTGTTTAGAATGACACTAATAGTTTTTTGCAAATATTAGTCTTGAGAGTGCAAACAGATGAAAAATGTTGTTATGGAAAATGAAATTCGGTTCAGTCGATCCAGAGTTTCTACTCAGCGAAAAATTGCATCAGATTTTTTTCTTGGTAGCTTCTGTTTCTTCCATCCATTCTCCCTGTCCTTTTAAACATCCGTATCTGTAGTGCAGGGCCCCAGTAACTTAAGTAAGCTTTTTACTGTCTAACACACCACCCCACCAAGAGACCTCTTTGGCTTTACTTGCCAGTCCCTGTCATCAGCAAAAACGTTCTGAAGGACTAGGCCTGCTGTAGGTCTCTTTATCTCAGGACCTCGGTGTTGGGTCGGGGGGGGGTGACCTGGCAGAAAGATAGAAATAAGTACTGAAAGGAGACATCTGTTCCTAATATTGCTGCGCTGGCAATTAGCAGCGTGTCTCTGGTGGATAAAGACTCTGGGTAGCATGAAGTCCTGGCTTGGGTCACGTTGTTTACCCCCCCGGGGGGGCACGTGTCAACAAAACGGCTACTGTTATCCCTTTCAGTGCTCCTAATACAGCCATGAGATCTTGGTCTGCCTCTTGTCTTGAGAGAGGATCAGAAATGGTTCATGAACCGTGGTCTCTGTGTCGAGTGACAGTGTGGAAGCAAATGCCAAACTGCTCCATTAAATGTGCGGAAGGCATCTGAAAGCCTCCTATTTACTGCTACGCCACTGGCCAGATGTAGCACATGCACCCAGACCTCCTCATTCTGATGTGCTACGTCAACCTGATATCAGCACTTAGTCCTAATTCCCCTGGCCAGTTACTGTGTGGGGAAAGGAATGTTGTCTGTGACACCTAACATGTCCTACACTCCATCTTTCCATGATGCATACTACAAAACCTTGCATGGGGGCTCTCATCGAGCCGCCGACTGTGAGCAGAGCTGAAGCGTGAGAGGACATGAGTGGATGGTGCTGATTCTGAGTCTTCAGTGTCGAGCGTCTTGGGTGCAAAGTCCCAGCTGTGGGGTAGAAGCGATGAAACACGACAGTAGGTCAGCACCTCTGGTGGAAAGCTGCAGCAAGGCTGTGATAAAGACCTCAGATACCCTGAATCAGGGCAGTGGAAGCACATCTGGGGGCTCCTCTTTGTCTTTTGCGTGCTCACTCCCAAGTCTTGTTCATGAGAACATCTCAAGGAGAGTCGTGCCGATTCTCGCGCCTTGTAACGAGCATGGCGACGCGCATCTGTGCTCTCAGCATCATAAATGTCTGCAGCTCAATGAGGGCGGCCCCTGCCAACTCTATCCCCTGCCAGCTCTGTCTCCAGCCCCTGGAGTTACTGACTTCCCACACTTGACGCATCTGTCTTTTTGCCATAGCAACCGGATGTTTCTGACTGCCCCCCACCAAACCCCCCACCCTGTTGGACAGAGAGAGGTCTTTTGGACCTGATGTCGGCTGATGTCGAAGGCTTACGCAATGGAGACCTACTCCCACGTGGCTCGGAACAAGGCAGAATGAGTCTGGCAAGGAAATGAGTCCTGCCATTCACCGTCCACCACTGAATCGTTGTCATTGAGCGTTATGTAAAGCAGCCCATGGGATCATGGCATTTTCCGGCCCCTCCCTGTCTTCAGACAATAGCTCGTGCTTCATTAGTTGCCGAGCACTTTACGTGGTTCTCCTGGACGCCTCTCGGCCCGTCGGATCTGCTGACTCAGTGAATCTGCCCCCCCCCCTTCCGCCCAGCCAGTCCGCCTCGTCATCAGAGGCCCCAGGGTTCCCCGTGGGGGTGCTTCCTGAGTCCGTTCCCATTTCAGACATGTTCCTCGACGTCATGAAGAATAACACACTGACTGTTTTGTTCCCGGTTCTTCTGGGAGGCCAGAAATTCACAATGGATCAGAAAATCCATCTGAATGTCGTCTCGGCTGCGATGAGTGTCCTGCAGGGCTGTCGCTGGATGCAGGAGTCCAGCGCAGACATAATAGTTATGTCGCATGGAAATGGGCCTTGTAGCTTATTTACAAGAAATCATTAGGCTCTTATGCAGGATGATCTAACACGAAAAAAACTAACAGAAAAGGAGCGATCGTTTTTCCTTAAACTGGCTCTCAGGTCTTGATAAGGACACTTCAGCCCCTGTGGTGTTGGGTAACACAAGCCTGTACAGGTGTTTTTCATTTCATTCTGGGGCCAGAGTTGAGCTCAGTAGGTTTGAGAACACCACAGGCAGACCTTGTAGCTGTGGAGAGCTTGTTCGGGGTGAGTAAGAACATGGGCGACTCCCCTCAGAGGTATCTACCTTCCCCCGCGTTCCCCAGACTCTCACACTGGCGTGACCATCAGGCTCGGCATCCTGCGATCCCAGAAACGGGCGGGAGAGGGGGTGAATGAGGGGGCGGATAGCTCTTCCATCTGTGGAAAAGAAAAGGAGAGAAAACAGCAGCAAGGGCATCGGTTAAATGGGCCGATTTTTATGAGCAGCATCCGGAACATTCCATCGGAGAGGCACGACAGGGCGGCTGGTGGAGATTCAGTGCCGGAGCTGGAGAGAACTGAAAAGAAGCAGGGTAAAGGCACTAAGTGGGTCTCAGTTACCCCTACAAAATGTGGGCTGGGGGGGGGGCTTTCGTGCTCCTGTCTGTAGCCGGACTCATGCTCTCCAGCACCAACTCTGGCCATCGGAGAGATTGAATGAGTATTACAGACACTGGGGTTGCGTGGTAAAAAATGACGACATGACGTAACGCGGACTCCAGCTGTGACGGGTGCACCGTCTGTAGTGCGTAACGCGTTTTGGTAAAAGTGCGTAGCAGGTGGTGGTTTTGGACTAAACCGGAAATTCGAAACGCGATGCCAAATTGAGGGAAATTAAGCTTAAATGGGCTTGGCTAACGGAGATCGGCACATTGTCAAGGAGTTTGTGGCAACAGGAGAGCGACGGTGCCTATTTCCAGTAATCGGCACGTGGTCTTTGCCGCCGGCACGTTACGGGGGGCACGGAGGGCTGACCGGCATGTTCCTGGGTGTTATGATAGTGTCACTTTCCACACGGCACCGTAAACCTATAGCTCGGAGTGTAAGTGTTCAAAAAAAAAACTCTCCTGTGCGCTGAGGCGCCACTGGGGAAGGTGTTGAATTCAGTGTGGTTCTGGTTTCCTGTCTGGGGTTTTAAGTGGCTCTGGAATATGTGACAGAATGCCGGAGGAGCCCCTGAATGTGTCGGACCCACATGTCTGGGTGAGAGAGAGGCTGAGCGCATGACACACAGATCCGATGGGATGAGAGGGAGACTGGATCTCTGCCAAGGCTGTGGTGGATCCCCATGGAGGATTTACACTTACACGCTGAAACTTTGAATCAGGCAGACATATTTAGCAGATACTTTCATCCAAAGCAAGAACCATAAAGAAACAGAGACGGCCCCTAGAGTTAAGGGTCTTGGTCAAGGGCCCCAGCCGTGAAATCGTTTTGATAGCTGGGATTTGAACCACCAGCCTTCTGATCATAAGAACAAAAGCCTAACCCTGTGAGCCACACCTCCATAAGAATGAACCTTTGTTTTTGCTCCTGCCAAAATATACTTTTAACTTTTTGAACTACACACCTGAAAAACGATGACTTCAAGCAAGGTTATACTAAACATTGTTTCAGGGGTTATTGGATCTTTTGATAGCGATTTAACCTTCTGTAGTACAGCTTTGCCTGTCATTAGTGGTATTCGATATATGAATGTTCCTGAAGCGCTCAATCTCCCTCAGTAAAAAAAAAAAAATGAAAGCGTCGTACGGTGAATTATTGAACATCTGATATATGACGCACAATATATGATGCTGCTGTTTTTCACTGGAGCTTCTTGGGGAGTTGGAAACAATTAGTTTGTTACATTAGCAGGAGATTGGGATCTGTGTGCCGTACATATTAATAACAAAAAAACTGCCTGCAAAAACCATTAACCTGCAATCCTGTTACTTTGCCCGGCTCAGGAAAGTCAGTCTGGAAAAGGATGTCGGTCTGGCACCTCTCACTGGAATGCTCCAGTAATTCCAGGTCCCACTTATTCTTCTTAATGCTAGGATCAGGCTTTAATATAACAGCCATACAGAGGGTCTGTAAGCATTTACATTTGAATGTTGAAAGTGGGGTTTGGCAGTGTCTGTGCTAGACAGTAGAATGGAAATGAATCCTGCTGAATTAGGAGGGTACATTTATATATGGTGTTCTGAGAGGCCTAGAATGGAGGTAAGGAGGTAAAAAATGACCATGCTGTGTTTTTTTTTTTTTAAATCCTCTTCGGAAAGCCATATGGCTGGACCAGATGTCATGGGAGGGTTTCTAGGGACATTCAGACCAGGTGAAAACTGTCACAGCTGCTGGAGAACTTAGGTCTGGAAATGGATCACTGAAATAATACTGTAGGTCTGAAATTCTTTGTGGTTGGAAGTTTTTTAGGGTGGGGAAAAAAATGTCCCCCCTACACACAAGTTGTGTCGGATCTCTGCAAGGTCAGCCACCCAGCAGCTAAGAGGTGTGAACGTGAATCTACTTGCCGCTGTTCATCCCCTGAGTGTGCCTGCGGGGAACACAAAACATTTTTTTTTTAACCTCCAAATGTGGCTGGACATGAAGGGGCTTAATATGATCATCCCCTCCCTTTCGCTTGAGGGCCAGAGTCTTGCTGCTTTCTGGAACATGCAAGTTCATTAGCAGATGATTAACACCTCAAACGCCAGGGCAGGTGGCTTAATGCCTGCTTCAGTCTGGACAATTACTACAGTGTGAAGATCACACAGGCGGACAATGTTATGCCTGATAGGCAAGTCGTAGATATTATTTATTTAGCAGATTTAGCAGAGAGTTTCATCCAAACAACTGATAAAGCAGGATAGACCAGTCCCTGGAGTATTTGAGGCTCAGTGGCCCAGCAGTGAAATCTCTGCATACCATGGGGTTTAAACTGGCAACCTTCCGATCACGGGGACATTTCCTAACCCAAAAAAGCCACACACTGCGCTGCAACAAACATTTTAATTACATTCATAAAATGATTGCTTAGTTCCTTAGGGTGATGATATGATGTATTTCCTGACTCAGTGATATTTGATTCTTTGTTTTTCCCCAGAACTGGGTTCCCCTAAAGATCTGGTCACCAGAGATGTGACAGACACCAGCTTTGCCGTGCTGTGGACCGCCGCCCCCGGGAATGTGCTGCGTTACCGTGTCACGTGGCAGTCGCTGTTCACTGACGAGTCTGGCGAGAAGTCCGTCCCTGGAGACATGACCAACACCGTGCTGGACAGGCTCACCCCAGAAACTCGATACCGGGTCTCCGTCTACGCCACCTACCGCCGTGCAGAGGGGGAGCCACTCGTCGGAGAAGAGACCACAGATAGTATGTCGATCTTTCCTTCTTATCTTATACCTTTCACAAAAGTTGTTCCCTACAAATGATACTTACAGCATGTAGGAAGCAAGTCCCAACCCAAATTCATGATGGGGGGTAGCTGGTGACCCTCGAACTGAGAAACCGCGCCGTAGAGCAGTGTTGCCCAATCAAGTCCTCAGATTTCAGTGCTTGGGGATCCAGCCAGGCTCAGGGGGCCAGTGACCCCATCTGCACTGGAAAAACAGAAAAGGATTCTCGCCTAAACTGTTTGGACAAGCCTGCGCTGCCCAGGTGAAGCTCTCGTATTTGAAGTAGGACTTTTTTTAATACCGGCAGCGGTTGAACTCTTGCCCCCCCCTTAAATCCTTTGTTTGGGAAGCGGTGACGTGGGTCTCGCAGGAATGCGGGGTTGTAGGGCTCTTATGGTGGCGTCAGGCGGCTGTGGCAGGCGTGTTCTGGTGCTGGTTCACTTTCGGTCAGCCTTGGTGACGCATCTGTGTGACACACGATCTAGCGGGCAGCACCTGCTGTCTGTTACGCCGGAGGGTGTTCAGAAGTCCGCCTGGAAAAGTCCGTATATCCCAGCCAGTTCACATATGAAACGGGGGGTGGAAAACGGTATCGCTGACAAGTAGGAGCCATGGGGAATTCATGAAACGTGCTGACAGACGATTATTAAATAGGTATTTTATTTATTCTGGAAAATAAGTTCAGGTACAATTTTTAAATGGGAGGCAAGTCAGGCATCTGCTGGGATTTTTTCTTTTTTTTTTGTTTCCATGGTCAGTGGAAAAACTGGAATCTCAGAAAGGTGTCGTGTCCGTGGTGGCCGACTTGTGCGCTGGAACATTGGACGTCACGCTATTTCCGTTCATAAAAACCCTCCCGGCCACTTCTGGGTGTGATAAAAAAAAATAAAAATATTTCCTGGGATCGTCCCCTTTCACACTTTCTGCCTTCTGCTAAGCTCACTGCGGTCGCCGTGGGTTTCGAAAAGATGACGGAGGGAAGAATTTGCAAGCCTGTAAAAGGTCCGACGCACAGCTGAAAGGAGCCGCCTGATGGGCTGGGGTGTAAAAGCGGGGCGTGGATTGCAGCGGACGTGCTGTAAAGCCCCTGTGTTTCACCAAAGGATTAACACCTAAAGCCAGGGAATTAGCAATCCCTCCATCACCACAGACTCTGCAATATGTGCTTTAAAGGAAAGAAATGTCTTAGAAGCACATTTCAAATGCCGGCAGGTGCAGTGGTTAGCACTGTTGCCTCATACCTCTGGGACCAGAGTTTGTGTGTCTGCTATGGCTCCATGTGTGAGCATGTTGCATGTTCTCCCCGTGTCATCGTGGGGGTTTCCTCTGGGTTTTCCAGTTTTCCCCCACAGTCCAAAAACACGCTAAGGTGAACCAATGGTACCAAATTGGCCATAGGTGTGAATTTTGTGTGTACCCTGCAATGGGTTGGTACCCCAACTTGGGTTATTTCTGGGATAGACTCCAGACTCCTCCTCCCCCCCCCCCCCCCCCCCTGGGATAGACTCCAGACTCCTCCCCCCCCCCCAGCCTACATAGGACAAGCAGGTATATAAAGAAAAACAAAATCCATCCATCATCCATCCATTAAGGGCTTAACCAATACAAGGTCACAGTAAACTTGGATCGTATTCCACCAGACATAGCGCCCAAGGCTTGGGATAGCTGGGATTGGATTCCTTAAGAAAAAGAATTTAAAACATTTTTTGCTGATTGAAGGACCTTTTTTCTCCATCTCATTAGTTACTGCTGCAGGGAAAGCTCTGGCCGTCTCTGACGAGACTGAGCGAACCCTGAAGGTCACCTGGAAGCCCGCTCCGGGCAAGGTGGTGAACTACCGGGTCTCGTACCGGCCCGAGGGTAGCCAGACGCGGCCTATGGTCGCCAAGGTGCCCGGCACCAACACATCCACCATCCTGAGGCGGCTGCAGCCCATGACCACCTATGACATCACGGTGGTGCCCGTCTACAAGCAGGAAGAAGGAAAAGCAAGGCAAGGAGTAGGACGGACACGTACGTTGGTCTATAATTAACCATGTGTGACGGGATGCAGGGCTGGGCGACCTGGCGGCACGGCAAACGTATCACAGCTCCGTCTTACATTGTGCGGGTTTCGATGCCAAGGAGAACATCTAAGTTTACGGTCAGACGCTTAGCAGTGTTTAATATTTCACAGATAGCAGTGATTTGCTAACTTTTAAAAGCCTCAGGTAAAACTCCACAAAAACCGCAGCATCTACAAGGATGGTTCTGGTAAACCCAGTACTTCTTAGGAAAAAAAAAAAAAAAGGAGAAATATTGTGATACGTATCGTGCATCAAAAAAAATGCCTGAAAATATCCTGGCATGACTTTTGAGACCATGTCACCCAACCCTGGATAGAAATGCTCTGTATGCTGTGTGTGTTGGGTGGGGGACAGGGGGTGGTTATTGGACAATATAAAATTCCAACGTGCCGAGGAACCAATCCTGGTTGGTTCAACTGGATGATGTTGGCTCTGTGCACTTTAGACTGGAAATGGTGTCGCTTTCTCTTTTTGTAGCACCTGAATATTAAACTGACACAGATCGTAGTAAATGCAGACTCCTGCGTAATTCCAGCATCATCCAACCCATTTGTCAGCTTTCCATGTCTCTCCTCTGTGCTGATATCAATGCATCTTCTTTGTGTTTTTTTGGTTAGTCTCACCGTATAAGTCGCCAAGAAACCTGCAGACATCTGAGCCCACCAAGCACAGTTTCCGGGTCACCTGGGACCACGCTCCAGGAGATGTGCGTGGCTACAAGGTGACCTTCCACCCTACGAGTGACGAGGTGGACCTGGGCCAGCTGCTTGTTGGGCCCTATGACAACACCGTGGTGCTGGAGGAACTGAGGTGTGTGGAGAAATCACCGGAAGTCATCTGTCGCAAAGTAGAGCACCACGGTCTGACCGGTTGGTGGAATACTGACCCAGAAACCATGGTTTCTGCTCACAGGGCTGCAACCAGGTATACAGTGAGTGTGTTCGGAATGTTTGACGGAGGTGAAAGCATGCCATTGGCTGGGCAGGAGAAGACCACCCTCTCTGATGGGCCAGATCCCCCACCATTCACTGTGCCAGGTGGGAACCGCCCCAACCAATCCTGCCAATCAGGATGATGTCCAGAAAAGTCCCTGCACTGGAAACATTATCCCATGTTGATACAACTTGCCTTTACATAACATACTTTATATTATCTCATAAATGCTTTACTTACACTCTCTTTAATATCACTATAAAATATTTATAGGTTTTCCAATCTGTGGAATACTACAATTAAAATACATATGTAATTTTTGCAACGTGAGACATTTTTTTAAAAGAAGCATCTTGTTCTCTTTTTTTCCATTTCAATTTCGGAAAATATTTCGGAGTTTTCTTTCCCTCTTTAGTAGCCACAGAAAGGATGAGTTTTGCTACATGCCTTCCCACTGCACTTACAGTTCTAATGAATATGCCATCTGCTAGATTCTTTTTTGACACATCGGGCATTTTTTTTTTTTGTTTTTTTTTTTTGTACTAAAGCAAAATGGAAAAAAAATGTCTGTTTGCAATTACAAATGTTTTACAACCTCACACATCTGAAGTACAGGCCGCCATTGGTTAGCGTGAAAATAGAATCCGTTATGTTTTTCATATAAGACTCCAGAGTCCCAATGACCTTGGGCTGAAATTCCTTCCATAATCAGTAACAGTTGAGGGACAGAATCTGTCTGAAAGGGCCAGAACTCAAAGGTGTGAAAACGAAGTAGGAGGGGCTACATTATCCGAACGATATCTTAGGTGACACTAACCTGTATTACTCCTGCAATAAATTTCTATCATGGCGATTTTATTTTTCCAGCAGTTCTCACTGAAAGCATACTACTCTGTTAAAATAATTTTCACAGTGGCAAGCTTTAGCATGGATCGAAATAACAGGTCCCCTTGGAAGGACTGAAAGATAAACATTTCAATGGGAAAAAAAACCCACCGCAATCAATCTAAGACAAAGCACTCCTGTTTTAATGCCAAGTATATCACTGACAAATACCGGAAACAATAGTTCACTAATTTTGTCGAATATAAATTAACACCAGGCCAACACCTGGTTTAACCGATATATCTTTTCAAAGACTTTCGGGATCCAGCCTTTAATAATTTTTCTTTTTATTACTAAGTAACTGAGTAAAGGCAGCCAGCACAAAATGATCACTGGGTACAGAGTATCCGCACACATTTTTGGACATCTGCTTGACGGGGAAAAGCCGATAAATCAAATGTCATGTAACTTGTTTTCAATTGCAGACAGTGGCAGATTGCGCAATGTGTCTCTGCCCTCTCACGCATTGGAGGGGAAAATCCTTTTCATCCTGCAGGTGTCTGGAATAGCAAGCGCCGGACAGACGAGGAATGTGCAGTAATTCTCACTGGAGAGCATCTCGTATATCTTGTGTCAAGAGGGTGTCTTTCGTGATTTGATGGAAGGAATGCCCTGCCTTCTGGTCTCGGCAGGGCTGGAAATTTCATGGGATATATGGAATTGCAAGCAGGAAGATGCTATGAACAGCAGGACAACTGTAATGCTTTTAAAACTGTAATGAAAGGAAAGAATTGTAATTATGAATTTAAGTTGTAATGGAAAGTGTAACTTTGGTTGTGTCTGTTACTTCTGCTGCATACTATGAATCCATTACATCCACTTTTGTTTTCCCCCTGCTTCTTTCATACTTGATCTTCTGAAGCTTCAACAGGTGTCACCTTGTGTTGGTCTGTCTTGCTTTACAACCCATCAAGAAGTTCACCTCTCATTCGTGTATGTCTTCAGTCCAGTGGGGAGGGTATGTTTCATTGTCTGATGTGGTCTGATGTTCTCTGGAATCTCAGAGGTGGCATGCAGGACCACCGCTCAGGCTGACATCGTCCTCCTGGTGGATGGGTCATGGAGTATCGGGCGTCTGAACTTCAAGACTATCCGATCATTCATCGGCCGCATGGTGGGAGTGTTCGACATTGGACCGGACAGAGTGCAAATCGGCAAGTGATTCTGCAACACAATTTGAAGATTCCAGAAGTGCTTCTACAGTTTCCATGTTTGTGTGTAGCTGCTGACTGTATTGTTCTGTATTTGATTGCTTTTCACAGGTCTCGCTCAGTATAGTGGTGACCCCAAAACCGAATGGCACCTGAACACTCATAAAACTCGGGAATCATTGTTGGAGGCCGTAGCCAACCTACCTTACAAAGGAGGCAACACCTTGACAGGTGACTTTTGTAGTTTTCAAGATGGGCAGCTAGTTCAGTTTTAGCTGTGTTTTGTAAACTGTGTTTTGACATTCCATTGTTAAAGAAGCACCTTCACATGCTTTAATCTTGCTTCCTCAGGTCTGGCTTTAAATTACATCCTTCAGAACAACTTTAAGCCTAATGTTGGAATGCGGCCAAACTCCCGCAAAATTGGAGTGCTCGTCACTGACGGCAAGTCACAGGATGACATCATCGTTAACTCCCAGAAGCTACGTGACGAGGGCATCGAGCTCTATGCCATCGGTGGGTATATCTTCGAGCTCCAAGTAGCTCCGAAAGCTTCTGTGTGTAATTAAACTTGAACTGCTGGAGAATGAGAGAAGCATTAACAGTAAATGCATTGACTGATTTTAGGTGTCAAGAATGCTGACGAGAATGAGCTTCGGTCCATCGCCTCGGACCCGGATGACATTCACATGTATAACGTGGCTGACTTCTCCTTCCTCCTCGACATTGTGGACAGCCTCACAGTCAACCTTTGTAACAGCGTGAAGGGCTCAGGTGGGCCCTGTCTCCTCCTCCTCCTCCATTGCTCTCAGCTCTACTCTCTCATTCCTATCTGCCCTTTAATTGCCCTCCTTACTCCCTGTTTGTACTGATCGTCAGAAAGGAATTCCAGCACAAGTCCAAGATTTATAAACAAAGTGATTACTTCAAACAATCGGCATCAATCCCATTTAGTGTGTATAAACAATTTAGTATGGGAGGCTTAGAAGCCCATCAAGAGCTGCATGAACTGGTTTCCAAAGAGATCCAAAAGACAACATGCAGTGTCATGAAATGTCAGGTGATGTGTGTGAGGACAAAATATACAAATATCTCAGAATGTTGGCTATTTCATCACTAAAACAGTTTTTGAGTAATAAGTAAAAGTGATGTTTTCCTATGTTTTCTTGCAAGACGGTGGACTTGGGGCACCTACAGACCTGGTGACCTCTGAAGTGACCCATACCTCCTTCCGGGCCACTTGGACTGGACCCAGCGAGCCGGTCGATAGGTACCGCGTACAGTACATGACGGTTTCTGGAACCCAACCTAGAGAGGTGAGCCCTGATGTTTATCGGCCAGTACCTTGACTGTAGAATCCAAGGGTTTTCTTGTTGACCTTTAACTACCACAGGAGAGTTTGTTCTCTGTCCTGCATAATATTCTGGCTTTTTCGCTTTTTAAATAGCACCTATCCTTAGTTGAATCATGTGTGCTCATGGTAGATGACAAATAGAACGAGAGCAAATACAATAAGATTAGCCGATAAATCACTACAGCTTGCATACAAGCTCCCACGAGTGATGTTATCACAGCATTACCGTATCACATTATCAGAGATGTTCCATAGCTTCAGGCAGACATTCTCGGACCAAGGGTTTGAGGTGACGTGATGGAGACGTCGCCATTAGCGTTTCCAGAATTTAGCTACATGAACTGTTCATTGAGATCAGATTGATCAGAATCCCTATTTTTGAGCTCTTCATCTTTCACCCTCTTTCCCCAGCAAAAAAGTGGATTTGGCCCCATTCCACACACTTTTACTAGTGCGAGCCCTTTGCCAGGACCTGTCTGCCTAATAATGACGGGGCTGACAGGGAGGTTTCCATGAAATAGGCCTCAGGCTGTAGCTTCGTCTTCAATTACATAACAACTTTCTGGATAGCAGGTTTTCAGCTATACTCCTGTAAGGTTTTGTTTAAAATAGCCAAATTAAATACTTTTGCCTACTGGCAACAAAATGATTTGAGTCCAATGAATCTGGCTTTTATTTCTAATGGTTTTGACTATGAAGCGATATGCTCTGCAAAGCCTTGCTTTGTTTCTGTACGCTTAATTGACAGTAGCAGAAGTTACTTTGAGTTGTTTTAACATAATCCTATAAGAAACTCACAAATTTGGATGATTTGTGTTCCCTTAGCCATGGCGTTAAACTCGATGTGTAATCCGATTGGATTCAGGCTCCCAGTGACTGACACTTTTTTTTACCAATGGGAAATGTTTGTTCCTATAGACGTTTGTTTCGGGGACTGTGACCACTGCCGTGCTGAAGAACCTGACCCCCCTGACGGAGTACATCGTCAATGTTTACGCTATGCTTGAGGATCAGACCAGTGAGCCTTTGAAAGGCACTGAAACTACCTGTGAGTGTCCACCATTGTCCTTTGAATTGTCCTCTTATTCCATACTGAAGCAATACTAACTTTTATTACTTAACTACTTTTTTCTTGTACAAGCTTACTGTGCAGGGGTGAGTTTCCCGAAGCGTTCTTAACGCTACGTCGTTCTTAAGTTCTGTGTTAAAAGATAGAACTAACGAACGACGTAGCGTTAAGGAGGCTTCGGGAAACTCACCCCAGTTGTGTATCATATTGCTTGTTGGACTTCTTCACGATACCTGCAAATGGATCGTTGGGGCCTGGTAGGGTGGCAAGAGATCTATGGGTGGCTTCAGATGTTGGGAAAAACTCTACATGAAAATGAATTCAATTGATTTCTCCTTCCTTGTTCCAAACAGTGCCCCTTCCCTCTGTGAGGAGCATGACGGTCTATGACGAACAGCCCACCACCATGAGGGTACGCTGGCAGGCTGCAGCCGGTGCTACAGGGTACCTGCTGCAGTACATGGCCATAAATGCCACCGTACCCACCACGCAGAAAGAGGTGAGGTCAAGTCAGGCCAACCTGGGCCATTTAGCTGGAAATGGAAGCTTTGAGCTGAGCTGACAAGTAGAAAGGTTATCCCGTTCTCTGGAAACTTTCACATCAGGTGCCGTCAATGAACAGTAGGTTCATTCTTGCTGCTGACTCATACGGTATCTGATACAGCACTGTAACTGGAAAACGGATGCCAGAGCAGCCACCGAGAATTTCCGTGGTTGTGTTATTTCTTTCAAGCCATGCCACAGCATCCCATGATCATGTCCAACCTTGTGACTTTCACAGCTGCGAGTCGGCCGAGATGTGACCACAACCCTCCTGGAGAGCCTCATCCCCAACACAGCCTACACTCTGTCCATCTTTGCTCTTCACAGTGGTGCAACCAGCGACCCTCTGTCCGACCAGGGTGTCACCTGTACGTGAACTCCCTGATTTTTTTTTTTTCTCCCGTTTGAATCCCATCAGAAGGTTCTCGAGGTTGTTCGTCTCTTACTCCAATTTCTCTCTCATCCCCTTGCAGTGCCTCTGCCCACTGGAAATCTGAGGATCACGGACGTCACCCACAGTACCATGAATCTCGACTGGGATGCCGCGCCAGGGAACGTGCGCAAGTATATCATCACATACAAGCATGAGGACGCAGAGGCTAAGGAGGTAATTCTGAGCAGTAATCTGCATCAGGCTTTCACAGATTGCCTTAGCTTTGGCCAAACCAAGCTGCTAAAACAATAAATCATCATCCGTTTCTGGAAAAAAAACTACATTTCCCACATTCCCAACAGTGGCAGACAACACCTGATTGAAAGTATTGCCGATTAAGCAATGTCCTGCAATTAATTACCTTAGACAGCCGGGTGTGATGAACTACGACCAGTGGGCCAGCGAAGGTTTGGGTCATCCAGATTCACGTTGCAGACGTCCTAGAGAATAATGCTTCTGGAGATAAATTGAAAGAGCAGACTTTGTCTGAAGGACTGCTGAAGTGGTCGTCTGTTCTTGGGGCCCTTGGGTTTGACTTTACAGCCTGGGCTTTCTGGGAGACAGTGGCTTGCAAGGTCCCTTGGCCCATCAGACCACATCCTGCGACATCAATCACAGCTCGGCTCCCCTCGTAACCCGTCGGCTTGGACTTGAAGTAAAAACCGGGCCTGGGGCCCCAGTGGATTTGTGATCGGCTAAAACCCTCACGGAGGAGGCCACCCGAAATGTGGCGGCTCGGCTACTTGATGGATGGTGTGTCCCTGGATGAGTGATCATGGCTGGGTTCTTTTGGAGAAAACAGGAACTTCACAATCAAAACCCATCGCTGTGGATTTATGTATGAGGAAGCCTTCTTTGAGATGTAGATGGTTCCAAATTTACAGCCTTAAAAAACAAAAGCATTACCAAGACATTACCGAGACTGCCTCGAGAATTACGGCATCTTTGAAACCCTTCGCAGTGGACTCTGGGTGGCTGTGTATTCATGGAAAGCTGTGGCTACTAAGTAAATGAGGCATGGGATCCTTGTTTCTTTGGATGCTTTTTTTCCTACCTGAGGAGACCATTTGAGGATTACAAATGATTACAAGATCAGTTTCAGAGTTCTCTTCATTTATCATTCCCTCAAACTTTTCAACAAATCCTTTACAGAGTGTAAAAAACCAGCTAAGCTGAATTGACTCCAAGAGCTCTTTTTCCAGTGATTCTCCTCCACATCTCAAATAACAATTCACTGATGTTCTCTTACAGTTATGGATATTATGCCACTCAGCACACACAATCATATTGAGACATTATGAGCTCCTGGAAGGAAAGAAACTTTCATGTCATGCTAGTTTACCCTGACTTTTAGGCAACCCATTCAAGAGTTATGAGTCACTCTGAACATTGTACTCAATAAACATTGACAACTCAAATCTAAAAATAGTCTTTACTAAATTTCTAGTAAAGTTTTATTTACTGGTGTGTAAAATAACAGACAGTAATATGAAGTATCCAGTCATAATGAATTGTAAATAGTTTTTGGCAGGAAGGTGCTGTTATTGTTAAATGGTATACGACATATGATTTCAACTCATTCAAATCATTTTTATTTTTATATTCAGACTGAAGTCTCAGGTCATGTGACGACCACAGTGCTTCGTGACCTCATCTCCCAAACCGAGTACGATGTGGCAGTCACCCCAGTGTACGATACAGGATCGGCTAACCCAATGCTCGGACATGCTGTGACTGGTAAGGAAACTTCCTGAGCCGCTCCTCTTCAGGGTCCGTGCCTGGTAAATGCTCACATGTTTTGTTGGGATAGCAGCCTACATGGGTGCAAGTTGTCTGGTCATACGCAGTCCTTCGTTGGCTTGCTGCCATTTTTTTTACACTAAAAATATCTCTGAGGAGAATTCGATCTCTTCCCAACACTAGATTAAATCAATGACTCTATACTTTTTCTACAATAGGTGTTGTCCCTGCCCCCAGTAACCTAAGGTTCTCAGATGTTACCTTGAGCAGCTTCATCGCCCACTGGGAGCACGGTGCTCCTGATGTAGCCCTCTACCGAATCAAATGGGCCAAGCATGGCCAAGACGACTTTCAATATGTAAGTGAATCATCAGGCATCAGAGGGATGAGCAGCAATCAGGCAGCTTTTCCGCCGGTGAGAGCTGTTAGTTTTGTGTTTTTGCTTCCTCTCCTCCAGGCCATCCTGAACAATGACGACACCTCCTATCTGCTGGAATATCTGGATTCCGACACCCTGTATGATGTGTTCATCACAGCCATCTACCCCGATGAGTCCGAGAGCGAGGATCTGATGGGCAGCCAGCGCACATGTAGGGCAGCGGGGAATCGTTTCCAAATAGACACACAATTATGGATATTTGCCTGCTTTTGCTCAGCCAAAATTGTAACACCATTTTTTTTTCTCTTACAGTGGCAGACATTCCTACGCCTGGTAAGTACTTTGAGACACTAATTTCCATTCCTAATGAATCGATCACAGAGACAGAAAGTGTGAATTTGGTTCCCGGGTTTGTCTCCAGCACCAACGGGGCCCCCTCAGAACCTGCAGGTCTACAATGCCACCACCACCTCCCTGACAGTGAAATGGGACCACGCCCCAGGCCGCGTCCAGAACTACCGCATCACCTACAGACCGGAGGAGGGGGGCAGGCCCCAGATGGTATGTGAAGTCTCCAGTTCCCTAACCTGGCTTACCACGGCGTTCTTGCATCTTTTTCCCACACCTGTGGAATGCTTACTTTTTGACACAGAAATAAATATATTGTCGGACACTAAAAAAAGATTGTGGGTGTCTGTTAGCCATTAAGTGACCTTTATAGCAGTTTGGAAAGTGAAAGACATGACAGAGAACTTGATGGAGAAAACTCCCAGAAGCCTTTGCAAATTCACTGCCTTTTCTCGGGTTTTTTGTGGTATTTCATTGTAATGTGCATATTCACAAATGAGTTTTGTATAGTCCAGATACTAGCTGTTTAATCTTAGGTGAACATTTTCACATTAGGAGATTTCTAAAATCTGAAATTGGACTGGAACCTCCGGAGATCCAGATCGGAGTAGACACCCTTTGTATTTCTTCAGCAAGCATGGGAAATACTCCGAGGTGTGCAGCATTTCATCTGAAACTAGAGACAATGGAAGACGCACACTTCCTGATTGGTCCTTAGCGACTGTCAATAAACCCACTTCTTGATGATTCGTTCCATCACAGTCCCACCCTTGACCACACCCCTTTCTCACTCTTATCCCACCAATGGCTCCCCATCTGGGCCAAGCAACAACTTTTACTGCACCCTCTCCCCAGCCAAGTGCAGCATAGTAAATCCAACATTCATGCTTCTCCAGTCACCCATCCGCCTGTTTCGTAGATCAGTTATAGATTTACTTTGGCAGCGAAGATGGCAGAATAACAATAGGACAAATATGCACTCTTGAGTCGTGGGGGGGGGGGGGGG